GCCCGCGCGCCCGCAGACCACCCCCCGCCTGCGTCCGAGGCGCCTCCGCTGCAGCAGAACCAGCGGCGGAGGTTAGGAGAGGAGATTGGCCGACCGAAAGCTGCGACGGCCCTGACCGCCTTCATCTCCCTTTTCAACCCGAACTTAGAATCGGCTTCTACCTGGGCCCTTTCAGGCCCGGCGAGGAGCGCTTGCCAGGGGTAGCGGGACAGGGCGCGAGGGGCCCCGGCCGAGGCCGGTCCTGAGGGGTCTGGGGCGTCTCCCCCCATCTGGGCGCTCAGGGAAGCCCGCGGAGAGGAGATGCCGCGCCTCCGGGGCCTCGCCGGACCTACTCAGCATATACTCCGAGAATATTCCGTTTCTGCACCATGCCCCGTGGACATGTTTGATGGTGGTCGTGCTGGTGGTGGTGGTGGTGGTGGTGATGGTGGTGTGGTGGTGGGGATGGTGGTGGTGGTGATGGTGGTGATGGTGATGGTGGTGGTGGTGGTGATGGTGGTGGTGGTGATGGTGATGGTGGTCTTGATGGTGATGGTGGGCCGGGCAGAGAACCCACCTGCTGGGGCTGCTCTCAGGCCCATCCAGCCCAGCTCCTTGAGACGCTGCTGTTCTGGCCACTCTCGGCTTTCATCAATCAACTCGCTCTACGTTTTTGTTTGTTTTATAGTCTCATTTTATTTATTTATTTACTTTTAAGACGAAGAGGGAGAGAGAAACATCCATGTGAGAGAGATCAGTTGCCTCCTGGATGCCCCCTGACTGGGCATTGAACCCACAACCTGGATATGTGCCCCGACCAGGAATTGAACCCACGACCTTTTGGTGCACAGGATGATGCTCTAACCAACTGATCCACACAGGCTAGGGTTGCTTTATAGTCTTTTATGTGGCTTGTTAATAAAATTTTGTAGCTTTATTTCTTAATGACTGGCCCAGGGCATAGGCTGTAAATCAGTCCACCCCAAGCTCCCTTTTTACAGGAAATCTCAGCCCTCATATTGCTGCATTTCCTATCCAGTTTTTCAAAGGTGTGTCTTCTCACTTATTACAAAAACAAGGGAAACTGCTGCCACCCAGTCTTCTAGGAGGAGACAGTCCTACTCCCCAGGTGTAGCTTTCCCCCAAATCGTTCACTCCTCTCTGGATTTATTAAGTGACTACTTTTAGTTTCTAGCCCTTATGTCTCCATCTTAGCTTTATAGATTTCCTCAGCTTTTCTAGCATTTCCTGTTTGCTTGTGTGGATCTTGTTACCAAAACGTTATTCTTTCCCATTTGATGGTCTCTTTGCCATGTCTTTCCTCACTCACCACTCTCTTGGGACGTCACTCCCTTTGCAGGCCTCAGCAGGGCTCCTGACCGTCCTGGCTCAGACACGAGGGCCTCTTTAACAGCCACTGGTGTCCTTTTCTCCCTCTAATACCCTTTCAAAACCCTGACCTCACCCCACCTCATCCAGGAAGCCTTTGGACACAGTCTCCCTCTGTCACTCTGTCTCTCTCTTCAAGGTGGCCGCAGGTGCAGGTGAGAATGCTGCTCCATGACCCCGTGTCCTCTCCCTCAGTGGGCACATGAGAATGTGAGGCTCTGAGCAGAAATCCTAGTCTCACCTGTGGCTCTTGGTCCTCGCTAGATGTCATATTATCATCTGGGGAAAGCCACCATCTTATAGTTTCACTGCGTACATTCACCTGGGCTTCCTACTTTTGTTTTGTTCCAATATTCCACTATTTAAATCACTGAGAATTTTAATAAAAATGTACTTCACGCATCCCATTGGGTGTTGTACGGGGGTTTTTAGAAAGGCACAAAGCAGACTGTACTCAGGTTTTTCTTAAAGCCAGTTTTTGTGCTCCCCCCCCCCAGCCACATTTAATATTTGATTCTCCGGCGATGGGAGATGCCTGGTAAGCCAGCGCATTGCGACGTGGGAAGAAAGGGCTCTGCAGGCTCTTCGTGCTGGTCCTTCCCACGACCAGCGTCTCACTGCAGGGCGATTTCCCCCTCGCAGAGGTGATGTGTGTCTCTTGAAGGGCTGGACTGCTCTCGAGACAAGACCATGCGTCCCAGGCACTTGGGGCAGGGATGACGGGGAGTGAGAGAGGAACAGGCCTGAAGAGTGGCCCATCTCAGGTGAGGGCACGTGCACCTTTCGGCTGCAGTCTCCACCGCTGCTCGCGGCCTTCCCAGAGGCAGGAAGAGGAAAACCTGTCCCGCACAGGCTTGTCTCCTTTAGAAAAGGGCACAGCTCTGGTCTGTTCCCTGAGTGAGATTCCGGGGGCAAGAAGAGAGGAACCACCTGACAGGACAAAGCAGAACTTGCATGACAGAAATGCCACGCGTGGAAAGTCCAGGAGACGCAATTCTTAAATACAGTCCAACAGCGATCAGGAAGGTCTTCAAGGAGGCGGCGGCCTGTGAGCTGTCTTGCGAGGGAGAAGGGTTGGTGAGAACCGAACAATGGCGCCAAGAGGGGAACAGAGCGGTGCTTTTCCACAGGGGCTATGACTAAAATCACCTCAGGCATCTGTTTAAATGCCAGCTCCAGCCATACCCCAGAGCGTGATTAGAAGGCCCGCCCAGGGCCCAGGGACTGGAGAGCCTCAGGAGCCCTGGGAGAGCAGGCGCCCAGGCTACAAGCATTGTGAAAGCCAGGGAAGGCGGATTCAGGAGATCGTGAGCATCTCGGTTCGCTTTAAATTCTCGATTTACAGCAGGGCTTGGAAATTAAATACCTGCAGGAACAAGGCTGGTACATGCACGAGCGAGGCTGACAGGATGTAACTGGAAATATAACCGCCGTCTCTTCCTACACTCAAGGAGCAGCAGCCGCTTTGCTCCAGCAATTACTGTCCATCAGGAACGCGTGCCCAGGGCCCAGAGCCTCCCATTTCCCAGGGAAGCCTGAAGCCCGGGTGTCATACAAGCCCTTCTCCTCCGATTACCACATAATGGATCGAAATGCCATGAGCACCAAGAATTCCACCAGGGCCACCAGCTGGCAAGTCCACACACCTTACTGTACGGGGACCTGAACGACAGATAAAATGATTTATCTCCTGATAGACAATGAAAAGCAATAGAAGGATTGGGAGCAAAGGAGGGAGCGGAACGTGGGCGCTGGAAGGAAGTTCCTGGCGGCTGTGTGCTCTCGGGGTGAGGCGGAGAAGGGGCCTCGGCCGGAGGTCAGGGGGCTCCTCCAGGTGTGCAAAGGGGACCCCAAGGAAAGGAGAGGAAGAAAGCTGTTGAGACACAGGAGTTGAGGTGACACGACTGGCCGTGGGAGGAGGCGGGACAAAGGAATCACCCAGAGTTCTCCACGTCTAAATACGTGCAACCTCCAATCACCCTCAGTCTCTAACGCACACTTAGGTTTCAGTTTCATTCATTCTGCAAAAAAGATCATTTAGGCTGCACTCTGCTCCACAGGAAAATTGAGAGTCATTTCTTCAGGGCAGGAAAAAAAAAAAAGCACAGACAAAATACTTTATAGTATCTATAATAAATGCAATGAAATCAATACAAACAAAACTTGGCTTTAGCAAACTGTACATACATAAATATCTTTTTTTTTTTTTTTTACTATAACATTCAACTTTTTTTCACATAAATCCTTCCATGATTTTATTACATCCAGTTTTTCTTTAGACTTTTAAAAAAAGTGCCTTTTAGATTTACAGCTTGTGCTTCTAAAGCAAAGCTTAGAACATCATGCCCCAAAGAAAAACAAAGTGAAAGGAAAGCTGCCACGTGACTCTGAAAAACTGTATGTTACAAGGTTCCCGAACCTCCAGCACTGCCTGGTTGGGAGGCTGCTCGGTGCCAGCGTGGCACTGAGCGGTGGCGCTCAGCGAAGGGGGCACACGGTGGGAAAGGGCCCGACGGCGCCCTGCGTCCCGGGTGTGCACCGAGCGGGCCGGAGGCCAGGCGCCCAGGGGCCCGGAGGCTCTGCATCTCTTTAGTACCGAGGCTCAGGGTTTCAAACAATGCTTCTTCCAGACCTTCTGCCTTTGCTCTCCCTGCCGTGGTCTATCCGCCTCCGAAGCCATGATCCGGACACCCGGGCCCTCCGTTCGCTAGCCCGGGACGCTGTGGGCCGAGCCGTCCTCGCTGCCAGCCCAGCGCGCTGCAGGCGGCGGCCGCCTGGTTCAGAGCGGCGGCGGCCCGTTGGTGTATCTGAGCATGGGGTGGAATGAGCGGGCGAAGTTGTTGGAGAGGGCGCAGCTGTAGTCCTGCTCCGACATGGGTACCAGGCAGGCGAGCCCCACGAGGAGCAGCAGGAGCAGCTGAAGCGGGAGGGCCGCCCGGAGCACTCGGTGCAGGAAAGAGCGGCCCCGCCGGGCGGGCCGAGGCTCAGAAGGGGAGGAATCGGAGCCACCTCTTATGGACCTGAGAGAGGAATCGGCATAAACAACTCAGATATCTCAAACGCCGGGCGGCTGCTGCTTTCAGCCCTCACCTTCCTGGAAGCTAAGGGACCATGCCAAACACAACCCAGCCTGGCGATTAGCTGCCCGCTTCTGCGGTGTGCCCAGGTCATCGCCCCACCACCAAATGAAGAGTTGCTTGGAAACCATACTGATGGAAAATTAACATTTGGTCAGTCAACTAAAGGTAACTAATTGAGTTCAAATTCCATCCCTTAATTTGGTGAAACATTTTCCATCAACAAAGGTAATTGCTCTATACACATTCTACCAGCATAAATTAAGTTGATCCAGGATAATTAAGTTGCAGTACATTTTGGGGTTAAGACTTCCAGGAGCACTATTAGCCAAAATTAGTTGCTGTCAGAATCATATGAAGCATCCGGTCTAGTCCTTCTGGATGTGCCAAACTCCAGGCAGCAAGGAGAACAGCCCCAGTCGTTTTGCACAGACCCATAAAGCTCAATTAATCTGAGAGTGGACCCTGGTTTCATCTTGCACTGAGTCAGCACTGGCCCTGACATTAGCGGGTTCTGACGCCGTACGAACAGGGATGGCCTGGAGTCCGTGTACGGAAGCTGCTGTTGGATGACTCACAGTCTAGGCTGATCCTGTTTTTTATTAGCTGTGACTTTGGGAGACGCACACAATTTTTCTGAGGACGACAGACTGTCATCTTGTAGGGTCCTTCTACTCAAAGTTCTGTTTTCCTGCCTACCTTTGTATCTTCCTTTCTACTAAACTGTGCATTCGAGATTAAGTATGAATTTCAGATTTCATAGGAAGGACTGCCTGTAATATACTGAATATGGAAGTAGGTTCTGGGTGGGGTGCCACCGTTTTTTTCTGTGTGGGCATCCTTTAATGTTCTGTTTGGTTACTCGTGGAAAAGATGGAAAAGGAAATGTTATTTCCAAGAAGGCATTTTGTACACGCACACATGCACACACACACATCACACCCAGTATCACAGGAGAGGTGTACTGACGAGAAACGTTCCCCCACACCTGGTACAAATTCCCTGATGGTAGCAATGGTAGTGATATCACAGGATATGGCCACTGGAGAAACATGAAGGTGTGAAAACTGGGTTACTCTGTATGCTTTTCTCCCAAGAAAACACTACGTTTCCAGCTGGACTACTCAAAACTCTCTTACGAAGCCATCAAAGAAATATGGGAGACAGAGAGACTGGTTCTCTGCAAGCCCGCGAGGCAGCATGTACCCCACTGTGTTTTTAGCACATGTAATGAAAAAACCAACAAGTCATGGGTCTAAATTGGGACTGTGTTTCTTTTCTGAAGACTACAACTAATACTGTGTAACGCTGACCAACTCACTGTACCCCTAAGTGCCGACCTCTTACCCCCTATAAGTTAGACTAGGCGGTCTTCTAACCTGAAAGTTCCCTGTTTTATACATTTTACGTCTTCTACTAATTAGTCACCCTAAATAGTCTGCCAACTGAGAGGCCACAAGAGTTCAATCACCATCTAGTGGTCAAATTGATTAACTGCCCTTATGCTAAGACCAAGGAGTTATTCCTAGTGAGCCGAACAGGAAATTTGTATATTTTGTGAAATACAGTATAGAATAAAAGAAACGTGCCACATACCTATTAATGGAAGGGTAAAATAGGAAATTATTGAGTTTTCTAATTTTAAATTATTCATGTAGAGAGTATATAACTCATCTCCTAATTTTGTAGATAAGTCGCTAAGGATTGTTGACATTTATTTTTGTAATTACCAGGCGACGTACTAAGCATGTATCTTGGGTTCTTTCACGTAACCCCCAGAATAGTCCTCAGTGTGTTTGTTATCCTCAATCTATAGATGACGACATAAGGAGGCTCAGGGAGGGGGAGTAACTGGTGACTTACAGCTTGCAAGTGGCAGGATTAAGATTTCAACCCTGGGATTTTAACTCTAAGAATCTGGACTCTCTAGAGAGGGTAAGTGACCTGCCCCAAATCCCACAATTAAAGGAAGGCATCTAGCAGGAACTCAGGCTTCCAAAGTCCCTGCCTACCATACTCTCTGAAACATTTTATGTTTGGTGATGTTAATGAAGGTCATCCAGGTTATATTATGTCACAGGTATCTTACATGTATAAGAGAAAAAAATATTTGTATCCTAAAATGTCTGGAAGTGAGTGGATTCTTCACGCTGAAAATAAATGCCTCTGATCATATGGCCTCACAGTATTACACGGCTCATCAAGTTAGTACATAGACAGGAGGGCATTTTGTTTTCAGACAGTTGCACAATCTTGGCCAAGCAACAGAATCTGGTTCGGGCCTTCAGTTTTCTCATTTGCAGGGAAGGATGCATTAATAACCTAAAATCTCTTTGGCTCTGACAGTTCATGATTCAATGGTTTGCCTTCAAGTGTCTTAAGAAGGATGGGATAGTTGCCCGTGAACTCTGGGTTGAATTTTTCTTCAAGATACCTTTCCCTTTCTCTTACAATGTGCCCTGGCAAACAACCCTCCCCACCTGTCACTGGATGAGTTATAACCCAAGCACAAAAGAGAGCTCCAGGTTTCCTCACTATTCAACATTTAAATAAAACAAGGGAGATTTCCGACTTCTTTAGGAGACACGTAAGGACTTTAGTGATGGGTAGATTTATGCATACAGTGGACAAGACGCTCTGACTGACAGAGCTGAATAGCCCCTGCTTGTCAATTATTAGCTTCTTTGAGCAATTAAGCCAAAGATCAAGATCAAAACACAGGGTGCACATTGACAAGTTCACTCCCGAGAACTGGAAAGCTCACCGTCTTTTCAATATGGGCTCACAGATTACAGCGTCTGTCGCAGGACATGGCACATTTAACAGCATCAGAGCATTCCTCACTAAACTTTAATTACCACGTGCCAGCTAATGTTGAAGAATGCCTTCCTACGAAGGGATGGGCTACAAGAGGGACGGAGAGAACACGCAGTCCCTGCTGAGCTCCATGCAGTTGGCTGCTCTTAGAAATGCCCAGTTTACCTCCTGAGAAACTGCCACCCCCTTGGGGCAATAACCAGGGTTTCAACATGCCCAAAGTTTCAAAGCTTCTAGTACCAGCAGGTTAATGATACCAGGGTAAAAGGATACTTTCAATCTTTATCTACTGACCTAAAATCACCCGTTTCAAGAGTCTTGGGAAATTAGACATGGGGAAGAACAAAGACACTAATCACTCATTGCTCTCCAGTGGCCTTAATGCATCAACAGATGCCAGCTGAGATTGTGTGCAGAAAGCAAAAATTCAATGCGTGGACTTACTCAAGGATATTAATCAATGGAGATAGTCCAGGTAATTCAAAAACATGCTTATTCTCATAAGTAAATACTTATTTTATTATTTTTCTCACTCCCCTCACTCATTCAAATTTCTGGGTAAATTTGAGCAGGAGTTGCTTCCTCTTTTTCCCCAAAACACATACAGTCGTGGACAGAGGATGGTAGGGGAGGATGTCATTCACCACAACACGCCACACCAAGGCAAGCATGACCAAGGGACGAGGGGAGCCCCGCCAGCGTGCAGGGGGAGTCCGACGCATCTCAAAAATGCCGCCCAACGAAGGGAAATAAAACGGGTTAATTTTGTGCACGCATCATTCACACACAAAAGCAGCTCGCAATTCATTCTGTTACTTGTCAGCTGACCCTGGAGAATAGTAATAGGCATTTACTGCGAGGGGTTATCTAGAGAGCCTATGATCTTGTTGCCTACTCTTGTGTGCAGGGTCTTTGCTCCCTGGATACATGGTTTAGAAGACACACGTACCGAGTCTGTTTAAGATGTCAGCCACCTCTTGTTCCAAAAGGAGCATCCTGCCTAGTCCTAAGCCATCCAGGCAGCCGAGCCCTAGACGGGAGTGGCTAACGAGTGAGAACCCGCCCGGAGGAGGCAGGCGTGGGTGCAAACCGAAATCTTCACGCCTCTCACCCTCTGTGTCCTTGTCTGCAGAACTGGGGCTTTCGCCATGTCATGGGGGTGGTGTGAGGGTTAAATGAGGTAACAGATACATCACATTTTGCATGGTGCTTAGAAAACGTTAGTGCTAAATACACACCAGCACATTATTATTTGTACTATGAAAGCAAGGGGTGCTGACTCACACCCTCCGGGGTCGGCTGGGGTTAACCTTTCTTCCCGGGAGCCGTTCCTCCTTTCCTAGGAGCGCTTTCAAAGATGTGCTCAGTTTCTGGAAGGGCCCGACAGTTCTCGGGGAAACACTGGGGCCGCATGCATCAAATACTATAGAAGGAGCAAATGGGAGCCGTGGCCTATAGCTGTGCTCGGCCCTGCTGGGGGCCTGCCCTACAGGCAACACTGCTTTAGCTGAGGCTGTTTGAATGCTTTGAAAAGTAGATCCCCAGGCTGGAGTCTGGAGGAAAAGACTTTTTACAATTTTTCAGAAGAAACTGAATAGTGTTTTCAGTGAAGCCCTGTTGTACATGCAAAAACCCACTGTGCTGGCTTCATAACATTTGGCCCCGTTGAGCATTTTAAAACGAGGTGTGTTTTCCTCCCTTTCGGTGTTTCAGCCAGTTATTTGCCACATCTCACTCGGTCTTAGTTCTCTGTGTGGAAGGTGCCAGAGACCAAAGGTGCCCTGGGAAATTTTGCATTTCACAATTCTAGGCTTTGGAATGAAGTCATCAATTCACTCCATCCAGACTACCGAGAAATTATTCCTTTGCCCTGCGGGAAATCAGTAAAATGTCCCCATTTGTCAGTTTCAACTGATCGGCAGTAGAGTTTTGAAGAACTTCTGGAGATCAGGTTAGATAATTTCAACTCAAAAGTGGAAGAAAAGTACTAGGTGGACCACCATAAACGTTGCTTCAAAAGCACACTTCCTAAATGTATTTAATCTAAAAAAATAAAGGATAGTTATAATTGTATTCACAGATGTCTTTCAAATGTTTATAATTTTAAGGGATGCTTCTGGTAATTGATTTAGGGAATCTCTTCATTCTGGCACATTGCATGGCAATGGCAGGAACCAACTGTATTAATTTTGTAGGCTGAGGGCCTAAACACAGTAGTATCAACCCATATGTAGGCTTAGAAAATTATGCAAGATATAGAACAGTGACCATAAAATTAAACTGAAATACACAGCAAGCAAGCAACTGATATTATTAATATCTGACTTTAAACAACCAAAAGAATATAGGAACCTCTCCCTTCAAACTAACAACCGGTTTCTTCCACCTCAGCCTCTCTCCTCTCTCGGAAGAAGACATGTCTAACATTTTCCCACTGTAGACTGCTGGGGTCAAGACTCTAAACTGTTTGTGCTTCTGCAATAACCTTTCAAATCTGCTGGACCAGTGCAAGATCAAACACAAGGCGCTCTCAAGTCTCGGTGGAAGGGAACACCGAGATGGCCTGGACTGCGGGTGAAGTTAATTCTTTCCCAGCAGACTCGGCATTTCAATGTCAGGGTTGGGCGCACCCCAAACAGAGGTGCCAAGGAGCTAAGAAGTTCAAGAATGTTCAACCGCAACCTGTCTGGCAAGGTGTTTGATGAAGTTTGCCATTTAGGCAAAGATCGTTTGAATTCCAGGCCCTCTGAGTAGCAAAGTGAACCTTGTGCTGTATGCTCAGAAAGATGTTAATAAACAGAGCCGGGCAGAGCAGAGCTGAAAGGTGCCTTGTGGGTGTCACCGTGAGAATGTGGCTGTCCCAGCCGCAAAGCCCTGCTAGGAGACGCGTTGTAGCACTTGCTGCCTTAAGAAACCATGACTTTGACATTTTCAGAAAACCCTGGCGGCTTCTTGGAATAACTGGGGGGCTAGATTGATGCAATATTTGGAAGCCCACAGGTGGCTGCTATTGGTGCTGCATAATAAATAAGAGCTTTCCCGCTTTTCTTTGCCATCTTCCATGGCTACTGAAGAATTGGTCTCTGGCACCCTAAAAGGAAAGCTGTGGAGATACCCCATAGCTATATGCTCACGGCACATTGGCAATTTAAGTGGGGAAGATGGACCATATAAAACAATGATCTGTCAATAGCACAATTGTTTTTTCTTGTAGGGGCCTAAAAAAAAATCAGAGTCCATCATCAGAGTCCTGCAGAAGCCTATCAACATCTTCATTCATATTTCATTATTGATATTTTGTATGGACCAAAAACCCACCCAAAATTGTCTCCAAACCAAATCAAAAGGAAATAAAAAAATGAAAAAACATAGTAAAGGGAGGGTTAAACCCAGAAAGCACATCAAAATACATCCCATATCACTTCACCCGAGTGGGAACGACCGAAGGAAACAGCCAGTCTCCTCGGCACAGAGCTGGAAAACCATGACTATTACTCAGGGGTTGTCTAGGGTCATCCACTTCACCCCCACCCTGCTTCCTGAGCTGTGATCCCAGCTCAGTGGTGATAAGTTTCCAGGGGGGCAAACTACTCTAACAGTGAAATGCTTGGGGCAGGTATGGAAAGTCAGATCCGAGGACAGTGTTTTCGTGTTTGGACGGCTGTTGTGGGAAGCAGGCACTGGTTAGTGAGAGGGCGGGGAGCACAGACACCACACCAGCAACAAAGCAGGCAAAGCACCGCTAACTGCAGAAACGGACCGTGGGGAGCGGGTGTGAAGCACGGAGCGGCGGCGAGGCTCTCGGCTGGTGCCTGCCCTCAGCCCGGAGGGAGAGCCGCCGAGGGTCAGCGGGGAGTGACCGAGTGCCGGCCAGAGAGGGACAGGGGGGCAGCAGGAGGGAGAAGGCGCTTAGAGACTGTAATAGTACCCAACTCGGACCTGCAATTTGGAGACTCCCAAACCCACAATCTGGATAAAACATGAACATAAAATAAAAAGCTGGGGGTGTTAGTAGATTTTATTCAGATCTGTGGGTTCCGGGAATGGTAAAATAATTCACTGATCGATTACCTGTCTTACTGTAAAACCTAGAAGTAGAGAGGGCTATGAAAGTCTGCCACGGCTCGAACAGCAGCTATGGCATCGGACGTACGAAACCCGAGGAGCACACGGAGCACGGGTGAGAGGCACCCGATGGCCTCGCAGCGTGGATCCAAATGCGGGCGGGCCACAGAGCTCACGCTCGGGGATCCGCTGGCGCTTTGCACTGAGAAAAGTCTCTCCCAATTTATCCTAATAAATTCCTCAGCTACCTCAGGCACACCCAAGACAGGCCTACCGGAACCATGGGCAATCCTCCTCGTGCGGCTCTAGAACAGTGTGGAGACCATGAGGATAAGGTACCTGCTATGTGGGCTGCTGACAGAGGGTCCAGGCTGTGAGAGACTACATTTGCCTCGTGGCTGTTTGCAATGAACAGGGGGTAAAGAAAGAAGAATGTTCAGTCCAGGCAAATAAAGACAAGCTACTGATGAAAATTAAACTAAACATGCGGCAAAGGCAAAATAAATTGAACGAGATGATCAGTACCCATGATTAAGGAAACTGGCTTTTCTTTTGCAGAGAAAAGTGAAATAAATTCACAACTATGTTATTAGTCATCGAAGGGACATACATTGTGGTTTGGAAGTCCGCACCACAGTGGGTATATTTCTCCCCACTTTTCATGGTAGAAACTAAAGCGACTGCATGCTAGCCAACTATTTCTGTATATTTACTCACAATAAAAATAAAGTTCGGCCCTGGCCAGTGTGGCTCAGTTGGTTGGGCGTTGTTCTGTGCACCAAAAAGGTCACCACCGGTTTGGTTCCCAGTCAGGGCACATGCCCGGGTTGTGGGCTCGATCCCCAGTAGGGGGAATGTGGGAGGCAGCTGATTGATGTTCTGCTCTCACAGCCATGTTTCTACCTCTCTCCCTTTCTCTCTCTCTAAAAATCAATAAAAATATATTTTAAAATAAATAAACAAAGTTCAACCCTGGCCCACTGTGGCTCAATTGGTTGGGTAGCGTCCCATACACCAGAAGGTTGCTGGTTCAATTCCCGATCAGGGCACATGCCTGAGTTGCAGGCTCGATCTCCAGAACCGGGTGTGCGGGAGGCAGCCGATTGATGTTCTGCTCTCACATCGATGTTTCTCTTTCTCTCTCTCCCTTCCTCTCTCTAAAAATCGATAAAAATATTTAAGAAAAATAAAAATAAAGTTCACTATCCTGTGCCTCACCACATTTTTTTCCTATATTCTAGAAAACCAAAACAATACTAAAATTCTTCATAGATAAAAAATAATAACAATGGTAATATGAAATTGTTCCTTATAGAGTGATGAAGACCCAACAAGTTAGATACTCAAGTTAAATAAAGGCTAAAATTTGAATAGAAAAGCCAGTATTCCTTCACATTCTTAAACTAGCATCTATAGGAAACTAGTGAATGTAGTAAAACAACAATCCTAAAAAAAGGTCATAACATTTATCAGCATAGAACTTAAGTGTTTATCACACAAAAAAAATCACAAATGAAATCAATACTTCTAAAAACTAAGGGAAATGGAATGATAATAAAAATGAATATAATCATAAAGCAGGACAAAAAAATAACAAAACAAAAACAAGCTTCTAATTACACAGAGAAATCAAGGTATACAGGGTAGCGGGGGCCGGATTTGCTTTTGTGTGACAGTGAGGCAGCCCCCACGGGCGTTGTCGGTGAGTCACCTTAAGCTGCGGCCATTTGGGGGGCTGCACAGTTGCTGAAAACCTTCAGGACCACTCAGGACCTTCTTAGCTTGAGAGTCAACAGATCCTCCACTTATCTTATAAATTCAATGGCCTCAGGGACACTTTGTCCACCTCTGGCTGAGGCACCCTTTTCAGTGGAGCCAATATTTTAGGTGGACGATGGCTGTGGTGGCCTGAAGGGAAGAGCCACCAAAGGCACCAGGGAGCATCATTCTAGAGATGGCCCTTGGAGCAAGAAAAAGAATTTGCCTCCCTGCAAACCAACCACACGTTGAGCCCTGATCCTTTTGAAAAACAGAACCGCTCTTTTCCGTTCCTGAGCGCGGGTGGCGAGGGCACGTGGCAGGGGAGGAAACAGCGCTTCACTCTGTCGCTGTGTGACAACCTCTTCTGCACGGGGACTCCTGCTTTGTGGGGGGAGAGCCTGCAGACCCTGGTAGGTACAGATACTGTCTCGCCCTAGTGTCCCCTCCCACGGGCCAACGACCAGTGGAAAGTTACCGTTCTCTGTCTGTTTGGGGTGCTTGTTCCCGACGCAGGACTCACAGATCCCGAGGTGTCCAGTTCGTCAGCAGACGACCAGGAAGACAAATCCTAGGTAGGAAATAGATTCTTTTGACGACTCCGCGTCCCAGAGCCACGATGGCTCTGCAACATACAATGTATTTCCCACCGCATCCCCACCCGTCCCCCGTAAAGGTCAAGCCATTCATTCCTTGGGGGAAAGAAGATGGAACCTAATTCTTCTAGTGTATTGGGGTTTCCTGGCTGTTTGCCCTTTTTGGAAAATACAGCGACAGGCGTGCTATCACTGTGTCGCTCGTAGCTTTATTATTTCTCAGTGATGGGGCTGTGAGGGAGTCGAAGCGGTGGAGGCGAAGGGATGTGCCTTAGAGCTGCGGGCAGCTCAGGCCAGAGAGACACCAATTTGTCTGAGTTAGAAACGAGAGTCACCCAGGAGCCTTTTAGCATCAGAGAAACCGTGCTGTTTCCAGCAGCTGTGGCTTGCAGTAGATTGTTCCTTGACATTCTTAAAGGAAGGCAGAGTGTTTGTGGGCTCATAACAGTGTTTCACAACTGAATGACGTTTTTCCAAGCATCTCTGTGCCGCAAATCCACTTCCCCAAGCGAACACTACCACCGCGATGCAGCAGGTTGCAGGGAAAAAGCAAAATAACTGAGCAGAGGGCATTTTCCATGAACCGACTGCTGATCATGTCAGGAGAATGCAACTTCTAGGTTGAATCGTACATAATGTCCGGTTGTGATTTATCCTAGCTATGCTACGGAAAACACGTGGCCTCTTAAACAGGGTAAAATAGAATGCCACCATAGTGATGGCATAAGGTTAGCAGGAACAATTACAGGTGGTCTCTTGGATGCAACAGAATCAAAAGCAGTGTTCTATTATAAAAGTCTATGAGTCCCTTTCTTGTTTTGAGACTGGGCTTACAGGGCCTGTGACAGAGAGTGGGCACTCTGACAAGCACCACCTTCAACGACTTTCTAAAACGGGTAACGACGGTGCCTCCTTGGTGCCCTGTAAGAGATGCTACACAATGCCACTTGCTTAGAGCTCACCTGCTGACAGCTTGACATGTCCAATAACTTCTCCAGCTCCTTGATGTGACGGCTGACCTCCTTCAAGAGCAGTTTGAGCCGATTTCCAATCACATGGACTTTTTCTTTGGCTTCTAAACAGTCTGTGCCTTCAGCATTCACCAACAGCTGGCCAGACATGTCTTGCAGTGAGGCCACTCTGAGTTGGGACTCCAGTAGCTCATGCCTTATTTGCTAGGTATATGATAAGAAATATTTTCCTAAGAATTTCTGATAATTGGAGAAAGTCTCTAAAGCACAGAATGACATCACTTTAACTTGCTTAGCAATTACACTTGAGCATTGGAACGCTGTGCTCACACAAGGAAGGAGACAGCTGCCCATAGCATTCGAGAATCAGGGAAGGGACCTGTGCTCTAATCTTGCCTCTGGCCAAAATTAAGACCCTGAACCTTTCTGATGTGAGTTTTCTCCTTTGGTAAAATGATGATACTATTTCCTGCCTGGTCCACAGTAAGTACTCTTAGAAGGCTCAAGTTGGTAAATATATGTTAAAGTATTTAAAATAGAAAGTATTATGCAAATGAGACATAAGACATTCTTTTAAACTGAAGATAAAACGTTACCATAAAGATAGCAAACCTCAAGTATGCCTAGGTACACTCCGATATCTGCTCAAGATTTTTTAAAAAGATCTGTGGGTGATTCATCATTGACAATTTAAAGCCTGAGGTCAAAGGTCTGGTGAAAATGCAGTTGCAGAGCTATTTCCTCTCGGACTCTAAGGCCTTTATGGCACTGAATTAAAAGCTACCAATTCTGCTGGTTAGGTTAGTGTTAAATGTTAAGAAATAACATTTTAAAAATACAGGAGGCTACAAAATTCAAGTAATTTTCTCCTAATGGAATGCAAATCTGCTTCTTTATCGCCTATAAAGTCACTTAAGTACACTGTACATTATATTGTCCACAGTTCTTTGTATGATAAGCTACACAGAAATCCTGCAAGTTTCCTTTTGAATTTAGTGCTAGAAAAAGTTTCTCACTCCTTGAGAGCTGATATGCTTTCTTTTTGTCAGATAACAAAAATAAGTGAACTCATCACATTTCCCTTTTTGTCTTAACTTTCAGAAAAATGGATGTTAAGGTTAATGTTGAATTTGGTTCACTTCATTTCTCTTAAGAAGCCTTTAATGCTCTCTATTTTAACAGTTGTAATAATGTCCTTCTATTATAAACCACCTGATATACTTTTGGGACACAGTATAGGTAGCAAACACAGTTTAAATTAAAAATAAGCGTAATTCACCAAAGACCTGCTTTAATAAAAACGAGTTAATTAGGTTAAAGCAGCTAGGATTTCTACAACTGAGCCATGACTTTAGAACCAGATTCTAAAGCTAGTCAATGTCATATTCTATGCATGTTCATGTTACGAAAACTGGAAACCATAAGAAGTAAAGTAAAATTAACTTAGAGACTGTAACTTAAAAGGTAAAAAAATATAACCACCTACATTCTTTTTCTGCAAATACAAGGGGTGGCTGCTAAGAACAACGAGAGGCTGCCGGAGCTCACACATCTTACCGTGAGCTGCTTGTGATGGTCCTGAAGAACCTCCGCTGCGAGGTGAGCATCGATGGGAACCATTTCATCCTTTCTTCTGTCGATGTTCTCCAGCATGAGAAGCAAGCCGTGACTCATCTCGTGAAAATCCTGGGGGGATACAGAGCATGAACTCATCTGGAATAACGCAGTTTTCTATCCCTCACTGATTACATTTCTAATCTCTACAAATGCGACTACTGGGAAAGACGCATTAGTTTTAAGATCTCAGACACAACTCCTTTTGTGCTGTTGTAATTATCTGAGCTCATATTTTTACCAAAAACATCTAATTTGTTACTTGAGAGAAAATCCAGACATAAGGAAAACTGGTTCATAATACAAAATATGAGAGAAATTTCTAGGGTTATTATATAGTTTGGAAGGAAGCAACTTGTCCCCCTCTCTTCTCTCTGCATTCAAATCTTCCCATCTTGTAAGGCCTAAATCCAATCCCATATGTCATCCATCTATCCATCCATCCATCCATCCATCCATCCATCCATCCATCCATCCATCCACTGTATAGTTCCTGAAGAGCTTCTATGTGGAACGCACTGTACTAGGAATGGGTGCTGGGTTGAAACAACAGCTTGGGTACCTGCTTTCAAGGATCAGGTACTCTTGGGGCACACATAAACCTGGGAAGCAGGCTTCCCATCCTGAAAGGGCTTCCCTTCATGCTCAGAATACAATCTGAACTCCTGGCCAGGTCCTCCAAGTCCCTGCATGGTTTCATTCCTGACCATCTTCCTGATGTCTCTTATCACTCCCTGCCTCTGCCTGCATTCTGATCACACTGGCCTCTTTTCTGTCCTTAGAGACACTGGCCCTTTCTATTTGTTCTATTTCCCTTCATGAAAATGTCCTTCCATCCGCAGCTCAAAGATCCTGAGAACTTCCCTGATCAGCCTCCCAAAGTAGTTTTTCTTAATTACTCTTATCAGCATCTATAAGTATCTTGGTTAACCATTTAACTGCATTTTTTACTGTCTGTTTTCCCCAACAAAAGGAGAGGCTGTGCACTGTCAGACAGAGGAACTCGGCCAGTGTGGTATGAATGAACAAGTGTTTGTAATGCTCACTTTGATGTTCAGGGACTGTCTTCCTATGTGCTCAGTAAATACCTGTTGAATGAATGAATGAAATAAATGAATGAAATAAATGAATGAGTGGAAGGAGTGATGGGGGCTGAGATGAACTTGTGGGAATAGTCCATCTCTCGTTAGCTGGACAGAAGATGGGGCCTCGCTGCTTTGAACTGCTGTTCACATGTACAAATTCTCCAGTCAAATAAAAAGTTTGGGCACAAAGTCACCACATTCAAATACTGACTCTGGGGAGCAACTGCATGCCTCTAGCGACCTTGATAAGTCAAGTCAGAGGCTCAGCACCGCTGGGAATGTGTGACTCTGGAGCATGGTCTGCCCGAAGCCCACGGACCTGGCACTGCATCAGAGCGTCCTGGAGCAGGCCCCGCCACTCCTCCAGCAGCGCGCACACCCGGTCCCAGCGCGCGTTCATCCGGCACAGGCGGTCCTGCAGGTCCCGGCTCTCCTCACTGCCGGTCTGGGTGAACTCGGAGCTGCACAGGTTGATGGACAGGATGATGGCTTTGCGGTGGTCCACGGCCTTCTGGAGCTCCTGGAAAGGGGAAGAAAGAAAGAGGGAAAATAATGATAAAAGCATTAAAAAAATAGTCTAAGATCTTTGGAAATGCTTCACCCAAATAAAAAGAGCCATTGATTAAAACTGGCTGAAAAGGATGGCTAGATAAGATACAGCGAGTTCACACTGCTGAGGACCACGCCGCAGTTAAAGAAATGGAGGAGATGTGCAATGACAACATGAATAGATATCAATAAAAAACAGTGTAGAGGGAAAGAGTCAGAAACTGAGTGGTATGTGCAGCGCAATTGCATTTATGTAATTTAAGATACATGCACACACACACAAATCTACTTGTTTCTGAGTACATGGGAACAAAGAATACGCATTAAATATTTCAGAATGGTTGCCATGGATTTGAGAAATGAGGACTGAAGACAGTGGCGGGGTAAAGGATACATAAATAAAATTAAGAGGAACTTTGCAGGAAGCAACCATGACCCTGTGCAATGAAATAAGGAGTATGATTAACTTAACCCCGGGCACGGGATTTCAGCAACGAAACAAAATTGGCCTCCAATAGTTCTGAGCAACAGAAAATGCACTTTTTGTTCTAGTGTGAGAGCCCCATTTCAACAGACCAATGGCGCTTAAAGTTCTGTGCACGGGAATGAAATGGGAAGCTTGACGAGAAAGCAGATTCCCAGGCCCTGGCCACCAGCTGGTCTGACTCCATAGGCACAGATATTGGCCCCCAGGCTGAGGACCCTGCCCATGTCACTGGCCACCTTCTTGTGATGGTTAAAAGAATGAGTTGGGTATTTCATCAGCTAACCAATTTAATTTGATTATATACACACACACATGCACGCACCACCCCCCAGGTATTTTTTACTTTATGTATCTTTTAAAAATCTAGAACTAATTTGCAGGAACTTGAGCACATGATTATGTATTAAGAATTGAAGAGTGGGGTACTGTTTAAATATCACAGATCAAGTTAGGGTGAATGACCCTGCAAATCACATCCACCCAGGCTACGTTTTCTTACCATTTCTCACTTTTCTGTGATGTTTCCGGCTTGTCTTAATTTTTCAATTTTCAATAGATTCCTAACATACTGAATATAGATTCAACCGCAGAAAGAATATATGATATTGTGGAAAGACACCTGGTTATTCCACAGATCTACCCTCAGAAAACAGCTAAGATTGTGAGGAGGGGTGCAGGGGAGGGTAGTTTGTGGGTTTTTTGGTCATGCAGGCTGACTGTTAAGGTCTCACTTCCGCACGCTAATCTCACCTAGGTCTCAGACTCTGGCCAGCATTTGCTTCATCACCTCTATAAGGAATTTGGGTTTAATCCAGCACTGCCTTATATTTTCCTGGAGAGAAACTAAAGGAATTTAAGGACTCTAGAGAAAACTGCATCTCTCATCTGACACTTCATCCTGAACTCGATGGGGCTGGTGCAGAGGCTTCCCTACAAGACGACGTTTGAACATCTGTGGGGAAGACTCACTTCTCTGTTTGAAAATTTAAAACACAACCATCACCAAAGCAAGCCACAGAAACATTACCCCCCAATTAATAGCAAATGCTGAAACCAGAGACGCACAAAAGCAGCACACTTGATCCTTGAGCCCGGAGAGCCCGGGTAGCTCCGTTCTGAGGACGAGCACACCTGCTATTTTCCAAACAAAATGCAGAGTCAAAAGAGCTATTAAGGAGGCGCTGAGCTCTCAATCCACAGTCTGCTTACAAGGGTCTGCTTGTATTAATGCATTTCAATAGCTGGGTTGAGGAGGATTTCTAAGATCTAGAGATGGGGTGAAAGGAAGTTATGTGTTCTACACCATACAGGAAATATCAGGTGTTTTCTCACAATGACTCCAGTTTTGTCTTGTTTAATTGACTATTCGGAAAATTGCTTCTGCCACTACCATAGCCTGTTTCAGATGTCCTGCTGATTCCGGAATATCAAATGAGTTTGGAGAGGATTCATCTCCAGCTCTAGATAAAGACTTGTAGGACCCTGCTAGTAAGTGTCTCGATTTCCTGTAGAAGAACTGAAATAGGTCCTAGAGGTACCTGGGTGGTATATAAAATTTTAATTGATTATTTAAAAATACCCACTCGTGAAGTCATACACGATTGTTTACACGGGAGCTACTTCTACAATGTGGTCCATCTTCCTGCCCTTCCCACCCTTCTCTATAAACACTCTGATTAGGGGTGGCTGGGGGGAGGAGAGCCTTCCTGTGCCATTCTGCTGGTAATTTCCCCGCTGCTGTGTCACAGCGACGTGGCTGGAGCGAGCGGCTTCGCCTGCCCAGGCCTTCCATGCTACCGCTCTGTCTGGCCGCTCTGGGAAAGGCCAAGGGCAGCTTACCTTGAGCTTTTTGATCTGGAGCTCGATGGACTGGATGTCAGTGCTGAGCTCCAGGCGCCGGAGCCGCTCCAGTTCCTCCTCCGTGGCCCCCAGCCAGGTCCAGATGTTGTTCAGGTCAGAGCCGAACTGCTGCCACTTCTGGAGGTTCTGCTTCATCCTCCGCTCCTTGCTCAGGGCCTGAGCCTGGATGAGCTCCCATCGGTCGATCACACCTGGTGAGGCAGGGCGCACACACAATCATGGGGTGTTCGCCATGTGCCGCGGTTAGGGAAGGCCGTGGGCCCGTGGGGGGCTGACTTTACACAGCAACAGGAAGAGGAGGAGGAACCCCGCCGGCCTTGCCTGTCGCCCCAGCTGTAAATAACAGCGTCGCGGCTGAGCTCTTCCGATCTGATCTGCATTTTTATCTAATGTGAAAGAAATGAGCTCCATGGGTCTGACGTTTCCAAGAGCTTTATGAAGCAACGAGCAGCGGGGCCCGGAGATAACGCTCAGGTCTTGGTCTCGGCCTGAGCGCTGAGCGCCTACACGCAGCACGCCTGGCTGGCGGCGCCAGAGGCAGGCGCGGGAACAGCAGCACCTCTGCCACAGGAGATCACGGGAACTCGGAGGGAAGTTCTCAGGACAGAAAAGTGTGGGGTGAGGCGCGTGACCCTCAGCTGCCACAAAGCGCTTCCGAGCCCCGCTTCCCTGGTCTTGGGGGGCCGGCGCCAACTCACCGGCGGTTTGGGCTTCGGTGCCGTCCAGGTTCACAAAGCCGGGGAAGCTCTCCTCTTCCTCCTTCAGCTTGTGCCCCAGCCTCCTCACCGAGTCTATGCTGCTGCTGCACTCGGCCAGCAGCTTCATCTGTCACAGAAAACAGGCCCGTCACCGTCAACTCCTCGCATTCCCGCGAGCGCAAGGGCTTCTGGGGAAATGTCTCTGTAACGCCTCAAAAAGCACAGCGCCTGCGCTTTACTTCTCTGTGCCACTCGGCTAGAAAAGGTCAATTTCAAAAACATGCTTCTAAAACGTGTGACACCTTCACAGACACAAAGCAAGGCCTCGAAGATACACTTTGCATATGTGGTTTTACATGAGAAGTCCTCAAAATTTCTTTGAAGTTTATGAATCAAGACAGACTCGGCCCTGCCCAGGTAGCTCAGTTGGTTAGCGTGATGTCCCCATATGCCAAGGTTGTAGGTTCGACCCTCAGTAAGGGCACATTCAAGGTTCAACCAACGAATCCATAAATAAGCGGAACAACAAATCCATGCTTCTCTCCCTTTCTTTTTCTCTCTCCCTCCCTTCCTGACTCTTTAAAATCAATAAATTAAAAAATTATAATAACAAAAACAGACTAAACCCATCTTGGATTTAAACTCAGGGCCCTCCGCTGGTATTACATTAGATAATTTTTGGCAAGTTGCTCCCTCTTTCTCAAACCGAAAAGTGGAAACAATAATATTACCACAAATCTCAAAGGAAACTTTTTTTTTTTTTCAATAAATAATTAAAATACTTAAAAGCATAAAGCAATATTGAAACCAGCTGCTTCATGAGAAAATTTAAGCATCGGTTAATAGGCAGTAAGGGAATAAATTCTAACATCAAAGGAGAGGCTTCCAACTCCACGTTTAGCATGCACAGTATTCAAAGCTTAAAAGAACAGAGCATTTCAAGGCATGCCTGCTACACTGACCATACAGTTAGCTTTCAAAGCCTTCAACGAATCACACTGCAATTAAATGCTTTGATTACTTTTGACTGAGGTTGAGTATAGTCTCAGTGATGTCAGCATGGTCCTCAGGAAACTATATTATATTTTGAGAAAGGAGGTTTCACTCTAATAGAAGTCAGTACAACAGGCTGGGTTGGATAGGAAGTGAACCCATGATTGATGACTCTTCTGTAACTGTGAGGATATGAACATCAGCATATATAACCGGAATGGTTCTCTTCCCTGTGTGAGTTGTTGTTAGACTTCGGGAAATTAATATTTCTTTCCTTTCATTAGCAATCTTTGGGGTGGGAAATGAAGATGTGAGGCATGGAAGAGATTTACTTGTGGACTCTCTTGCTTAAATATGTGCAGGGAAATAGGGAAAAAGATTCTGTCAGTAACTTTAGTAGAGCAAATAAAGTCCTTATATACTTTCCTAAGAGTTTCTGAAAAAGGAACTGTAATAAGCACACTCTCTTGCCATCTTTTCCACAAATCCCTCTTGTTAGGACTGTTTTCTGCAGAACGAGAATTCTAAAAACAGCAGATTAAAACATTCCCAAGGCCATCCAGTGAATCAATAAACCCAAGAAAAGAACGGAAAAAATTCCACATTAGTAATCTATTAGCCCAAATCTGCTGCTCTGAGGATAACCATGGTCCAAACATTATTAGCTGGATTTGGAAAAGTGCCTAATCACTTTCAGGAGCCAAAGCATTTTTGTTGCTTTCAATTAAACAGACTTCACGAAGTTCTCTGTGTAAAGGAACAGGCTGGTCATTACAGTAGGTTAGTGGGCCCATGCACATCCGGCTCGACTCAACAGGTAACTCAGGTAACCTGCCAACAGGGTTTTGTTTTGCACATCCATGCCCCTGAGTTCAAGGGCAGTGTGGTGTTTGGAGAGCTCATAAAGCCCTTGTGCCCCAGACAAATTGTTCTCTGTCACACAACTGTGATTTCCAGGCACCTGTCGGGACCTGGGAGGTCGGGGTACTCACGTAGCCTCGGTAGCTGGCGTCCAGCTCTGGCCCTGTGGGCGTTTTGCTGCGGATGATATCTTCTGTTTGCTGCATCCGAAAGCGGCTGTCATCCAGGGCTTTGCCCAGTTGTCGGATCTGCGACTCTAAGGCACTGGGATCCCCTGCAATGTCAACCATGAGACTTTTTACAAGCTTTTGCAAGCTTGACATTCAAGAAGTTTAAGAAATTATTCAGTTAAAGCTGTATAGAAATGGCATGTGTGTGGGTAATTATAAAGCAAGCTTAGTACTAATGTGCTGTTGAGTTAGAGATTTAAATGACCAGACAGATGAGTGTTTCACTAAGAGTCCTAGCCCACTAGATAGAGCAAAAGTGCTCTGCAGGGGGTGCTAATAGCTCCTGAGTCATCTACTCCCTTGAAAATCTGCATGTTGTGAGCCGTGAAAGGCCTTTTTAAAAACCTACATGGTGTCTTCTGAGGCAGTTACTTCTCACGCTCCCTCTGCAGTCACTTATCAAGCAGAAAAAGATTTTTCTTTCTGTGTCTCCGTAGAAGACAGTGCCACTGACGTGCCAGGTGGCTCTGTCATTCACTTAAGGCATGACTTCAAGTCAACCAAGAAAAGACTAGCTCAAGGTGGACGTGAATGGAAACACCAAACTGGCAATGACGCGCTTTTGTTTAAAAGTAGAATTGAAACCAGGAGAGAGCTAAGATTTTAGCATTTCCCTCTGGGCTTGCTCTTATTCAAAGCCTAGAACTCCTGGCTCTTCTTTCAAAGAGGAAACACCTTTCAGCAAAAGTATTTGTGTGCGTGCGTGTGTGCGCATGTGTGCTGTCTGTGCCTGCATGTGCGTGTGAGTGCACGTGTGTGTTGTGTGTGCGCGTGTGTGCGTGCACTGCAGTCTTTGACTTGAACAAGAACATGGGCTGATTATCAGAGTGAAGCTGGCACAGGGCGAAAGCAGAGCAAATATTAGTAAGCCTTATGAATTTGGTTTTTATGAGGCTCCTAAATACACCTGGAAGAGGTCTCTGACTGGGGAATCGCTCAGGCAGTCGTGTTTCATTAACGGTACTTCGTTTCCTGCTCTTTTGCTTTTCTTTAAAATTTAAGTGCAAACTAACAAGCCTACAATTCAATATCAAGGCACCGTGTTCAAACCCTCCTCTCCACCCTCCTCCAGATTTCTGACCCTGAACCACAGACAGTTTGTCTAGTGCAACACTGAGCAAAACTGGTTTCATCTTCATTTCTTTGATTTTTCTTGTTTCAGGAATCATTCTGTCCCGAAAGGAAAATCTAAGCCTTAAGATACTGGGGCACAAAAGCTGAGACTAGGGTTCCCACCGCCTGCTCCCTGCTCTTAGTGGATGCCACAGGGCCATTAACGAGACTGATCGCCATGACGGGACTCTTTCCCTCCCAGTGTGCTCGATCCTTCAAATCTTCCTTTTGGTGTCGATCAACTAAGTGTTTGTTCTGTTTTGTTTGTTTGTTGTTTTCCTGGTACAGCGGTCAGAGGGGAAGGTTCGGCCGTAACATGCTAGTGCCGCAGAGCCGTGAGGGGGACAGGGCTGTGCTAAGGGGGGCTCGTGACAGGTGAGGGAGGGCGCTGCTTCGGCGGAGCGTGCCTACCAGAGGTATTTCTGATGGCACTCTCTGTGAGTTTTACATAGGCCTCAGGGCTTTCAGGGATCATGACATCTGCAAAAAGAGCACAGTCTAAGTTGACAGGTAAGTTGTGGAAACACTGACTCCCTTGGGGCAGGAAAACGAGTTTCCTAGAGAAAAAAGGAAGTTAGTCTGTGGAGACAGAGCGTCCCGGGGCCGCAGGAGTGTGAGCACGCTCACCAGAGTCTTCCTGAACTGAGTTGGAGCATGGCCTCCCACTCACTGAGTGTTTTGGGAGCCAGGCACTGTCAAGCACTCATTTATCCTCATGGCAACCCTACAGTGAATGGGAGAGTCGTTCCCATTTTATTGATGGGAAAACTGACGTCCAGGGGAAGTCAGTTACTTCTCCAAGTTTCAATAGCTACTAAAAAGGCAAAACTGAAATTTCAGACAGATTCTAGAGGAGCGCTGAAAGGGGCCAAGAGCAACGTGAGCCGCACGCATAATTTCAAAGGTTCCAGTAGCCACGTTTTAAAAGTAATAAGAAACAGATGAAAATAATATTTTACGAAATCAATATATCCAAATTATAACCTGTAATCAACGTGTTAATGTTTGAACTTCTTTCTTTGCGTCAGTCTTTAAACTTCGTGTATTCATGCAAGTGCGTCTGACACAGCAAAGCTCAACTGCAGTCACAGTTCAGTGCTCGACAGTCACACTGTGGCCAGTGGTACGTACTGAACAGCGCTGCTTTAGGTGCAAAATTCCTAACTATTAGACGATACGATAAAGATAAAACAGGAATGAGAGAAGCCGTATCTTTCACTAAGATACCCAGGCCAGAGAGTCACCTCAATCCCAATTCTATCACTCATCAGTTATGGAGGGGACTTCTCATGATTTGTCACATCCCTTCCCTTTTATTTCTAATGCTGCTTGTTTAGTTCAGGCCACCATCCCATCTCTGTCCTGAATTATTAAAATATTTCCATTTCAACTCTTTTCCTCCCAATGCACTTCCCTCCATATGGTATCAAGACAGGTTCATTGAAAATATGCCTCTGATCACATCGCCTCCCTCCTTAGAGCCCTCCCGTGGCTCCCTATTACCTTCAGGATAAAACCAAACTCTTCCCATGTGAACAGGCTGCTCTATGACCAGGTCCCAGCTGGCCTTTCCACCTCCTCTTTGTCCACTCTTTGCTCCCCTATCAGCATTGTCAGTGTGGACAAACTTCAGGTGACCAAAGTACTGTGGTTGGTCATAAGCTGGGATGAGTGCCCTTTCCTTTCCTCCTCTGAACACTCGCCTGACCGACTCCTTCTCATCCTCAGGTCTCGGCTCACGGGTCCCTTCCCTGGAGCCGCTCCTCAGGGCTCCGGCTTAGCCATCCCTTGTCTGTGCTTCTGTATCTCCCTGTGCGTGTTATATCCTAGCGCCAAACCTGTCTTACTGTGTGTTCCCGGCACGTAGCAAGCACTTGTCACATGGTAAGACCTTAAGTACATGTGGGATAAATCAACGGTCATGTCAACTTTCATATCTGATAATCACATGAACGTCCAATGTTCCCTTATGCACAATATGCCCTGATGGGAGAAGGGAGGAGATTCTGCTGAGCTTGCAGGTTTCCAGGACAGTCTCCGCTCCTGTCTATTTCCTTTCAAGCTGGCGTGAGGAAGGGCTCTCTCCTACCTGGTAGGCCAGCAGCTCCCCTGAGGTAGAAATCTTTGTCTTCCTGGCCCTCTTCATCCTCAGAGGGCAGAGCTCTGGACACGGCAGACTCCAGATCACGGCTGAGGTCGTAGTCATGGTCCCACTCCAGGGGGATGGAGTCCACGCTGGCCGGGGTGTCTCGTCCTGACCGCTCGCTCCGGAGGGGCTGGGCGAGGGAGAGGGAGGGGTTGGAGGAAGGCTGGGGGGACAGCACGCTGTCCGCGGAGGTGTCCTGCCAGCGGAGGTCAGAGAGAGCTGCAGAGTCGTCCAGCTCCAGCTCCCGGTCAGAGAGGTCGCGCTCATCGTCTGGGAGCTGGAAATGCAGTCAAGCCAACTGTTACCGCAGCGACCAGGGGCCCCTCTCGCGTCTCGCTCTGCCTCTCGCCAGATCTCAGAGCTGAAGCTCATTTGGGTCTCGCTCCTACCTCAGTGGGGATCATTTTAAACTTCCTATCTTCAAATAAATGAGAATCTTGTGATCACGTCTACAAATGTCTACAAGTTAATCTAACAAAGCCTCAGTTTTATCAGCGCTAAAATGGAAATAATATTACAACCTGCTTCAAATAACTGGTGTAAGATTAAATAAGATGCTGTAAATAAAGGCAACCTAGTACCACGCTAGCAACACAACCTGGGCACAATGGCACATGTCAGGAACAGAAGGAAATCACTGGGAAATCTTCACTGGTCCTTTGTAAACTTATATCCCAGATACAAAATATAGTTAACACGGAATTTTCCAAATATTTGAATAATGACATCTCAACATTGAGATGTGAGTATGGCAGCAATTGAGGAAATGGAAGAGAAAAGAAATTCAGCTAAACAACCTCATCAATAGAGCAACTATTTATATTGTTCACCTTCATCTCCTTGTTTCTTCTAGAAGGTTCTTTATCTTCCACAGACGATGTGTGCCAAGTACTCTTCTAAGCTATCTATCATCTATCATCTATCAATCTATCTCTACCCATCCATCTATCATCTATCAATCTATCTCTACCCATCTATCATCTATCAATCTATCTCTCTCTACCCATCCATCTATCATCTATCTATCAATCTATCTCTACCCATCCATCTATCATCTATCTATCAATCTATCTCTACCCATCCGCCTATCATCTATCTATCCTCATTTCATGCCCCTAAACAATCCTTTCTACAAGGTGGGTGCTGTTACTAAACCAGTTTCACAGTGGAGGAAACCGAGGCAAGATACGTGACGTCACTCGCCCAAGGTTGCGTAGCCAACATGCCCGAGCTGGAACAGGAAGCCGGGCGCTTTGGATCCAGCGCCCAGGCCCTGAGCCACTATACAATGCTACTGAGCCCCACATCGCGATTTCTCTTTAGGCTGAATGGCAATGAAAAATGGCGCTACATACAGGCAGGCGGATCAGCTTCTTGTGGTATCTCTCCACGCGCCCGAAGACCTCCTGACAGTAGCGCCGCAGCTCGTCCAGCTCCTCCTCGATGACTGCCGCGTCCAAGGGCTCGCTCTTTTCAATCAGCTGTTCTCCTTGGGCGATGATCTGCTCAATCTTGCTGTGGTTCAGCGAAATTTCCTGCTGAAAGGCCTAGGGAGCACAGGTCTCATGTGACTTTTATTGTTCACATTGACATGAAATAATTATAAGACATATATTTAGAAAAACCATGTAGGGGATACTGAATTTACCATGTACAATGGCAAGCCAAGAGGCTTTTACTTTGTAAAGTCAAACATAAAAATTTTAAGTCAGAACGAGTTGGAAGTGGAATCGTTAGAATCTGATGACCAGAGAGGTGCCTTTGGCTCATAAAATCTACTACCATGGACAGTGTGGGCAGAAAATCACATGAGAAAACATTCAAATCCATCATGAAGTTAATAATGCTGGTTATCCCTGGTGAAAATCAATTATAATCATTATAGTGCCACTGAAATAAATGTGGTACTTTAAAGAAATATATTGACTATTTTAATTTTCAATGTCTTGATCATACATTGTACACGACTAAGAGAAACCAAGCCAGTGACAATTTCATAAATTCTTCTCAGATGATTTTTATTGTTTCAGGAAATAAGCAGGAAAGATTAAAATGATTTGGAAAATAAGGAAGTCTAGAGGATCATTTAGGCTCATTTTACATGGTTCAGAAGAGTTAAGCTACTTGGGACAAGTTTCAGGGGATAAATTTTAATTCACAGGAATAAATGCTGGAATAGTCAATACTGTCCAATAATGAAAAGACTGAAAGGGGAGAAGAGAGGGAGAAGAGAGAAGTTTTACGACCCTGCCAGAGTCCAAGAAGAAAAGACTTAACGACCACTTGGAGGAAATTTCCTGCCAAAGGCTATAACTATTGATTTGCCTGTGAAAAAACTTGGGGGAGTCAGGGTGGGAGAGATGGGGAGAGGGGTTGGGAAGAATACCAGGTTTGACTATTTTATGATTTTTTCGTCCTGATAATATACTAACGGTAACTTCCTTGTGTTATTATAACAAACCTAAGGTTATGGGCATCATGATTATATATTTTTAAAATCTGTTTAACTGTCTTGGGAGGAAAATTTCATAAGACACATTGCAAATTATTCAAATTGTTAAATACACTTCCACTTAGAGAATCCTTCTGGCTAATGTACTATATGTCCCTCCTATTTAAGTTATTAAGTAGCCACTGTGGCTGAATTATATAGTAAAGCATATAAATTTTTAAAAATTAACTTGGCATCTAAAAATGTAGACTATGTGGAATGAAATCTCAATATGAGAAAGTTGTATTTCTCTGAAGCACAGAGGTCAAATAAACTATCTGAAGGAGCTAGAATAAATCAGAAAACAAAAACAAAAACACAACAGCCACCAAAAAAGATCTCCAATGCCAGTTATCAAGTTAATACTTAAAAGTAGTATGTTAATGGTAGTTATCTAAAGATAGTGCTCTTTATTTCATTTTTAATATTTTTTGTATTTTTTTTCAATCAAGAAGAACTAATTTCTTGATCTTAGGGAGGATTTTATGAATTTGACCTCAAAGGCAAAGGAAGTAAAGGTGAAAATAAATGAATGGGACTCTATCAAACTAAAAAGTTTCTGCACAGCAAAAGAAACCACCAACAAAACAAAAAGACAAGGAACCGAATGGGAGAAGATATTTGCAAACAACAACTCTGACAAGGGGTTAATATCCAAAATATATAAAGAACTCATACAACTCAACACCAAACTAACATACAATCCAATTAAAAAATGGGCAGAGGGCCTAAACAGACACTTCTCCCAAGAAGACATACAAATGGCTAATAGTTATATGAAAAGATGCTCAACACTTCACTAGCTACTAGGGAAATGCAAATAAAAACTACAATGAGATGCCACCTCATACCTGTTAGAATGGCTGTTACCAACAAGATAAGTAATAACAAGTGTTGGAGAGGTTGTGGAGAAAAGGGAACCCCCATTCACTGCTGGTGGGAATGTAGACTGGTACAGCCACTATGGAAAACAGTATGGAGGCTCCTCAGAAAATTATGAATAGAGTTACCATAGGACCCAGCAACCCCTCTTCTGGGGGCCTACCACAACATTTTGAAAACATTTATTTGCAAAGACATATGCACCCTATGTTCACTGAAGCATTGTTCATGGCAGCCAAGACATGGAGACAACCAAAGTGCCCCTTGATAAATGACTGGATAAAGAAGATGTGGGACATATATACAATGGAGTACTCCTCAGCCATAAGAAAAGATGAAATACTGCCATTTGCAACAACGTGGATGAATTTTGAGAATATTACGTTAAGTGAAATAAGTCAGACAGAAAAAGTAAAGAACCACATGATTTCACTCATATGTGGGATAGAAAATTGAAAGCAACAAAAGAACAGACAAGAAAAACAAATAAAAACTCATAGACACAGACAACAGAATGGTGGTTACCAGAGGGAAGGGGGTGGTGAGGAGTAGAGGGTAGAGGGGGTCAAATATATGGTGACGGAGGATGATTTGACTGTGGGTGGTGGGCACACAATGCAATGGAAAGATCGGATGTCATAGAAACCTAAGCCGAAAGCTCTATAATCTTATTTACCAGTGTCACCCCAATAAAGAAATAAAAGAGAAAACTGAAAAAACAAGTTAATCATTATCATCGTCACCAAAGGATCTAAAAAGCCCTCCTTTAGAATTTCTTCACACGGACAGCTTGAAGAACCGCTCGTCTGTTACCTTGAGTTGCTTTATTTTCGCGTGGACGTCGCACTCGGAGAAATGCTCAATGTTAGTGAGCTGTAGGTCCATCTCCGTCAGCCACACCAGGATGCTGTCCCGCGCCGTCTCGAACTCCTCCCGCTGGCCGATGAAATGCTGGGCGCGAAGGGGAGACAGTGAAAATCCAAAGGCTGCCTCCCGAGACGCACCGCCACCCCCATGGCCTCTGGGCGGTGAGCCGTGAGGACCTGCCCCCTTCACCGTGTGATGGACCCCGATCCCCTCTCGCCATCCCCGTCTTCCAGAATCAGCACCGTTCAAATGGCCCGTCCCGTCCTCGGGGCCCCTACACGACGGGGGGGAAGAAGACCTTGAGTCTGCGCAGGATGGAGCTGACGCGCCTCTGCAGGTTGTCCCATCTCTGGTTGCCTTCGTGGACCATCTGCTTCAGGCGACACGCGGAGTCGGTGCGGTTCTCCCTGGCCAGGCGGCGGTACTGCTTGTTGATCAGCTCCAGCTGGGTCAGGCTCTCGTGCACCTGCCGCTGGAAAGCCTAGGGCCACAGAGAGGCAGGCAGGTGAGGGACAGTCACACAGGGCCCTCGGCAAGGACGCCTGGGCTTCAGGCTGCAACGTCAGGGGGCACGGGCGGTCCCAGTGTCACGACAGGCAAAGGACAATCTCTAATGAGCGTATAGGTCCCCTTGTTAAAGGAAAGTAACGCAATCACTGTGGCTTAAGGAGAGGGGGTGGATCAAACAAAAATATAATTGAGAATGGTAAATACAAATAAATATATACATATATGTAGAAATACACATACAGATATAATGTATATAATATACACTTAGACATACAGAATTTACACATATACATATAAAATATAGCTTCTGGGCTAATTAACAGCCAGAACAAAATTTTCCCATGAAACAAACTTATTACAAAAATATTTATGATGCTGAAATGAGTTTGAAATACTCAAAATCCCGATGTCAACACTGAGAAAAGATGTCTACAGAAGAACTGTCTCTTTATTTGTTAAATATGTAATTTCCTAAAAATTCAGAAACTGCCTCAATTCTGGTGTCCATTAAAAAAATTAAAACTATCTTTTGTAGAATGTCCTTTAAGTGCAAGCTATTATGAACATTTAAGAGAAGCAGTTTAGTAAAATACAAGTAATTTTAAATCAAAAAATGTTTGGATCATGCTCTATTTTTTTGTTGCTCCCGTGAATGACTCAGTTTTTATAAAACATTTAGAACTGATGTAGCTCCTTACATGGTAGTGTCTATTTATTTCTTTTTTTAGAGAGGGGAAGTAGGGGAGGAGAGAGAGACATTGATGTGAGAGAGAAACATGGATGGGCTGCCTCCCATGCGCCACCTGGGCCAGGGCTATTTACTTTTGAGGTTACCTACGCATGGTCTGGAGTTTCTGAAGATAAAAGACTTTCTTCTTTCTCTCTGCAATCTAGCATAGCCCTAGCATAAGAAACACTTGGCCAAGAGAAAATGAAGCTTTTTTCCCCCTCAAACTCTTGTGTCTGACTTATGACTGATTTTCATCTTGGCCTTAGACAGAAAATTGTATAATTATTTGGACCAGCCTCATCTAAGTCCCAGCGTTCAGCTTCCTTTGGCTCATCACACTGTCCACATGCTGCCCCATTTCTGCCTCTGGAATGGTTTCCTTTTGAGAGTTGCTTTAAGAGCCTTCATCCTAGTAAATCAAATCTTCTTTTCTATAAAACTTTAAATTATTGCCCCAGAAAAGGAGGTGGTAATAAAAGTTCAGCTATTACTGGAAGTCACAGAATATGTTTTCCCACTGGAGTGATGGCAGGTGTGTGGGTGGGTACCCCAGTGCACCTAGATCCACCCCAAATATTCATGCCAATGAACAGGCAAAAGCTTTCCTCAAACAAAATTTAATTTTGTGATTTATTTTGTTTCTTCTAAGAAAATTAACTACAAGATAAATGATAAAACATTCACTACAGGAGTTAACGATACGACTAACTTTTGTCATAAAATCTGAGTCTAAAATAGCATCCAAAAGGATCTTATGTAATCTGCTTTGCAGTCTAAGCCAATTATAAAAGGTTTTAACCTTCCCGGAGCTGAGTGTGCTAAGATGCAATACAGGAACCCCTCACTGACACTGGTTCGCACGGGGTGACCTGCAACCTACTGCTGAGCTACTGTGGCTTTTTCCAGGGGTTTTCTAAGGAAAAGCCTTTTAGATAGGAAACATTTTTTCCTGGAATTTAGTGGTATAGTTACATACAAATCCATACACAGATGTCAGAATAACACTTATTTATTTCACACACTGTTTAAACATTTTTATAGGTTTATATAGCTGCCCATCTCAGACTTTTAGGTTTTAGATCTCACTAGAAAAACAAGCACACTTCATACTCATGATCACAGGCCTGACAGATATTGTCAGGTAAAAGGGAATGCAGCTGGACTTGGTTTGATTTTTATTCTAATTTTTAAACATCTCGGGGAGCTTGGGGCAGAGTAAGGGAACAAGAATGATTTTTGTGAGACACACACACCAGAACCGTTTGCTGTCAAGTATGTGAGTACACATGTCTGCCTATCAGTGGGAAATGACGGGAAAAGAAACTTCAAATTAAAAAATGGTCAACATGCTCGGCTGGCGTGGCTCAGTGGTTGAGTATCCCCCGCCCCACGAACTAGGAGGTCACGATTTGATTCCAGGTCAGGGCACATGCCTGGGTTTTGGGCTGAATCCCTGTAGGGGGTGTGCAGGAGGCAGCTGATCAATACATTCTCTCTCATCACTGATGTTTCTATCTCTCCGTTTCCCTTCCTCTCTCTCTGAAATCAACAAAACATTTAAAAAATAAAGTAAAACATGGTCAACTTCCTGCTATATCAGCCGAGGAGTCGAGGTTTAATCCTATCAGTGACGGAGTAGACTCAGGATGGCACAAACAGGCCGGGGATGGGAATCAGTTATTGAATGATTCCTGTCTTTGTGAGTATGATTAGACTTTGGCTATTTTTGTCTCTGTGAAATTGAAAAGTCTTCATGACTCAAGAATGGCACTGTTCTTCATTTATAGTTAGAAGTGGCTCGTGATTAAAATGTTTCATTTAATCTGGAGCCAACTCTATTTTATTACTGATTTTTAAAATATATATATTGAGGCTCCAATTAGGTAAAAATAAATGAAAATATATATGGAAGATAGATTTTTTGGTATAGAAAACGATCTTATTTTCATCTTAAATGGGTGATTGTGAAGAATTGTGAAATAAAAAGAATGCCAGGATCTTTTTTAGGGGGGGTAGTGATTCCTGTTTTCTAATAAAATTCCTCTTCATTATTTTATGTTGTACTGTATTTGTAATTCTTGATAATCTTAAAATAGAAACCTTCTTTCCCACTTCTTTGTCTACTTATGAGGTAATAATAAAATGACCACAAAGTCATCTCCCAGCTGTTTGAAGAAAAAATGTGTGGGTGACGGTTACTTTACGTCTTGGGACACCAACTACCAGCTGGCTGCTCTCACAGCAACATAGGATTAAAGATTTGGAACGATACGTCACCTCAAATTTCTTCAGTTCTTCCTTGGCAACTGTATAGAGCACCCCAGAAGAGCTGGGGAAGGCAGCTGTCCTCTCGGAAGTCTTGAGCCAATCTTCAAAACGCGAATAGTCATCCAGAAACTTCTGCCACAATTGCCATGTCTCCTCAATTCTGAGACAGAAAATGAAAGAACAGAGTCCGATTGTTTGGGAGAGTTTCTGCTCCAGGACCCTGCCGTGGGATTAAAAGAGCCCAAACAAGCAACTGTGGTGCCAAACAATCACTGTGCCTGGAGCCAAAGTGAAAAGGAGACAACTGTTTGAGCTGAAATGAAACAGCTGTTTTTTTCGGGTTTTTTTCCCTAAACACACATCCCGTGGCTCTGAATTTGGAATTAGTCACATCGATCATCACATGCACATGATGGGAACTTTTCTGCAAAAGCGCAAGAAAGTTTAGAAGGGCGACGTCGTGTTTGCAGTGCACACGCATGCCAAGGTTTTGCCGAAACAAGACAGGGGCTGAAAATCCATTCAAGTCCAACATCAACCAACCCTCATCAAAATCAGCCTGTGACAGCAAGACCAGTGAGCTTTCAGGGTTCCCCAGGGAGCGCGGAGACGATGCGCTTTAAATCATTACGATAATTTTCTCACGCGTCACTATATTTTACTGCCTAGAATTTCAAAGGGCTTAAAGATAAGCCCTTTGCTTGTTATTTCATTTTTAACAAGAGAACATTATTTTCCAGCCACCAATCCTGTAACATTATACTGATTCAGCAAAGGCATGTTTTTCTGAATTATATTTAAACTGTTAGGTGAGGCGTAACTGGGCTGGTTATATTTGTGTATTACCCTTATATCTGCTTATTTTCCCAACTAAATGTAGACAACGACAAGTTTGGAAAACCAAGGCTGCTTTTGGACTTTGTCACCAAAAAGAAATACTGAACAACAGCCACCCTGGGTAATTTTTTCCCTTTTGGCACTTCGTCTGTCCCGGGGAGTGACCGGCCCAGCTTACTTGAGCCTTCTTTCCATGGACATCGCGCAGATATTTCTCCACCGCCGGTCCAGGTTGCGTGTGGCCTGCTGGATGGAGTCACACTCGGCGTCGGTGGCACACGCGTCGCAGTCGTGCAGCAGGACCTCGCACAGGTTGAGGACAGAGGCCACGCCCGTGCTGTGCTTCTCTATGTCTCTCTGCAGGTCCTGCGGGGAAGAGGCGCGCCGCTGAAATCCCTGCCCACGCGGGGGAAGCTACCCCAGGATCGGTCACTGACACGCGGTCGGGCCCAACTCTGACAAAGGCTTCATCTCCTTCAAAGCGTGAGGTTTCATCAGCTTCACTTATGACATACGGGAAGCTCAAAAGTATGAGAAAATGAATCTAGAAATATTTCAGCTATGTGAGCAATGACAAAGTACAAACTGAACAAATGAAATAGGCTACAGCAACTGTATTAAGAATAAAACGAGCTTCTTTAGTGATTAAAAAAACATATTCACCCAGGCTCTACCTCACAGATATATGACTTCCATTCCCATCCATCCATCAATCATCAATCAAAAGAACACAGGTGCTCCTGTTAAGAGCTGGTTCTTAGGAACTGGGATTTGATCTCTAAAGATCTGCGCGTTGTTCTAAACAGATAATTCGACCATTGTTAACAGGCACCGTGGTGAAGGGGCCTAGGTTCTCTACCTTATATACTGACATCATCATTATGGTCAGCAGCTTCCTCAGTGACCAATTTTAAATGTAGGAAATAGATTATGATGATCCACAGGCACGGAGTTTCTACAGAGTTCTACCACGTGAAACCTTTACATTAACTGCAAAGAATATCAGTGCAAAATGTACAATATTTTTTCTATTGAGCTTTTAACTCAATTTACTCAAAGTATGCCATCATTAAAAGTGAGGCCTACCAGTACCATTTTTTGCTTGCCCTATTTAGTAAGGTTCTTAATATTTTCCCTCTTCTTAGATACAGCTCTAGAATATGCCTAGTTTTTCTCTTGCTCTAACGCTAATTCCTCAGTCTACTCAAAGAGTTGAGATTTATACTCTCATGTGGATATTCTTCCTCCTTTTTCCCTGAACACTGCTCCAGCTGGTGCCTTCCATACAAATGTTAGCTCATTGTCAAGTGTAACAGCAGTGCCTTTGGTTAATTTTTGGAGATTTTATAAACTAGACACAAAAAGATAAACGCTATCAAAAATACTTTTATTTCACTAAACAGTCCTTTCAAATCTCTTGCATAACCTCTTTCAGTTATGTGACAGTTATCATGGAAATTACTGATCTAAAAAACATAAAATAAAATGTATTTCAAAAATTGAACTTAATATTTGCTCAAAGATAAAGACAGAGACTTCTGTGAATGAGGTACCCAAGGGAATTTTAGGCCTTAAAGTGCATCTTGTATAAGATACACATTTGGCCCAGCCGGGCGTGGCTCAGCGGTTGAGCATCGACCTAGGATCCAGGCGATCGGGGTTTGATTCCCGGTCAGGCACATGCCCGGGTTGTGGGCTCCATCAATGACTCTCTCATCATTGATGTTTCTATTTCTCTCTCTCCCTCCTCCTGTCCTCTCTCTGAAATCAATAAAGATATATTTAAAAAAAAAAAAAAAAAAGAATACACATTTGGAGGAAGTGTTAGGTACATGAACCTAAGTGTTAAATTAATTTTCCCCAAGTACTCAAAAGATTTTTGCAGCTTTAGTGAGATATAATTGACATATGACACTGTGTAAGTTTAAGGTGTACAGTGTGATGATTTCATGTATGCCTATAATATGAAATGATTGCCAGAGCAAGTTTAATAAACATTCATTGCCTCACAGGTAAAATCTGTGTGTTTAGAAGTTTTAAGATCCACTCTCTTAGCAACTTTCAAATGTGTGGCATAGTAGTGTTAACTATAGTCACCATGCTGTACATTATATCTCTAAAACTCACTCATCTTAGAACTGAAGTTTGGACACTTTGCCCACCTTCATCCAATCCCAAAGACTGAAACTCAACTCCTATCTTATACCACTCACAAAAATTAACTTTAATGGATTAAAGGCTTAAATGCAAGCCCTGAAACCATAAAACTTCTACAAAAAAACAGAAGGGGAAAGCTTCTTGACATTGGTCTTTGCAATGATTTTTTTAGATAGGGTACCAAAAGCACAACCAAAAAACCCCCAAAATAAACCAGTAGGACTAAATCAAACAAATAAACAAATAAAAGTGCCTAAAAGCTTATGTAGGCGTTTATCACTATAAATTTCCATCATAAAACTGCTTTTGCTGCAGCCCATAAATTTTGGTATGTTGTGTTTTATTTTTTATTTGTCTCAAGATGTTTTTGTTTCCCTTTGATTTCTTCTTTGATCCATCGGTTGTTCAGGAGTGTGCTGTTTAATTTCCATGTATCTGTAAATTTCCCAGCTTTCTTCGTGTTACTGATTTCTAGTTTCATATTACTGCGGTTGGAAAAAATACTTGATATAATTTCTGTTTTCTTGAATTTGTTGAGACTTGTTTTGGAAAACCTATGCTCTGGAGTTGGGGGTGGGGGTGCTGCGGCTCCTGGGCTCTACAATCATTTCTGGTTGATCGAGGTCATAGGCTGTGTCCCTGGACAGCCACTGGTTAGACTCTGTGATTGCGTAGGGCTTCAGGCTGGGCTCTGCAATTGCTCCTGGCCGGGTGGGGTCTCAGGTTGTGCCCCCAGACCAGATAACACTGCTGGCTAAACTCTATGGTCAGGTGGGGCCACAGGCAGGGATTTGCAGTTGCAATGAGCCTCAGGCTGTGCTCTGTGATCATGCACGGCTGCAGGCTATGTCCTGCGGTTGGCAAGTCCACAGGCTGGGCTTCACCGTCAGGTAGGCCATTGGCTCTGCTCCCCTGTTGGGCGTGGTAGCTGGCCGGGCTTCCCATCAGGAGGTGCCCGTTGTATCTAACAGTGGGTGAGGCTAGGGACTGTGTTCAGTGGTCAAGTTGGGTTGATGTCCAGGCTTTTTTGTCAAGTAGGGTTGCAGGCTATGCTTGGTGATTGGGCGGAGTCACTGGTTGGCATATCTGCTTCGGCAAGGTTGCAGGCTGTAGTCAGCAATCAGAGAAGACACTAGGTTGGACTACACTGCTGAGTGGGGTTGTAGTTTGGGCTCCTTGGCTGGGCAGGGCTGTAGACTGGGCTCCGAGGCTGCCCAAGGTCTCTATTCAGGGACCAGAGACTAAGCTTAACAGTCGGGTAGGGCTGCTGGCTTGGCTCCCTGCCCAAGCAGGGCTGTTGGATAGGCTCTGTGGCTGCCTGGGCTCTCTTGTCAGGCTTCCTGGAGGGGTGGGATGGAAGCTATGCTCAGCTGTTGGGCAAGGCTGAGAAGTTGTTTCCCTGACCAGGCTGGGTGGTAGAAAGGGCACCAAAGGCAAGTATGGCCCGTTGTCTAAGGACCCAAATCAGGAAGAACTGCCAACTGAACTCCAAGACCAACTGGGGCCACTGACTGGGCTCTGCTGATGGGCAGAGACGTTGGCTAGGATCTCTGCTTAGGCGCAGCTGCAAGTAGGAATGCATTCTGCCAAGATTTGAGTGCTGGTGGCCATAAGCCCCACCCCTCTTCTTTGTTCTATCTGATCCCCAGTGGTCAAGCCCCACAGATTCCTCTAGTGATCCCCACGAGGTGAGACCCAAGAAGACTCCTACAATGCTGAGGGTGCTGGATGTCCACGTTGGCCTCGTTTTGCCCACTGGAGAAACCAGACCCTGTGAGCCTTCTTAGTACAATGTTCTGGGCCCAGGGTGGGCCTCTTAGTGCAATGCTGTGCAAGTCTGGGGAGGGGCAATGTGGTCAGAGTGCCACCACTCCTCTTACTCTTCTGAGTGGCCCAGGGGGGTGCTTCAGCCACGCCCCTGAGTTCTGGGATTTTCACAGTGAGGTCTTTTCTATGGCTGGTTGCTTGTTGGTCTTCTTGTGAGGGGACTTAAGTCAGAAACAACCTATGTTACCATCTCGGTGACATCACTTCTCCATATAATAGATCAGTGTTGAATCTACTTAGAAGAGACTGATGAGGGAAACCACTGTGGAACCAGTATTGGGGTATGAGAACCAGAGCTGTAATTCACAGATGCTGGAGGCACAGTGTGGACAATTCTGAGTTTCAGATTCCAGGGCACCCAGTCAAGGGGTGGATGCATATTTTTATGAGATTTACTTTCAGGGGCTTGACCAGGTAAATACTGGAAAAAAGTCCCGTTGTGTTTCTGCTCAAAAGTTTTTGTTAAAATCAGTACATGAAGTGAAGCTTGAGGGGTTTTATAATTATATATGTGTCCTATTACAGATAGAAATTATAGTTTTAGCTTTAACTTTCACTGGTAATGGTCTTGAATTGGTCACATAGCGTCTCTGAATTTATTCTTCATCTCTAATACAGACAAATTTGACAAAATGTTCTCTGAAGTCATCTCAAGTCTTCAGATATTTTTGTCCAGTTAAGTTTATACGAACTAAGTCCATTGGCAAGAGAAATATACAAAAATTCCACATGGGGAAAGAAAAGAAAATGCATTTCTTATCAGTTTAATCTGTCCTTTTAAATATTGGTGAGAATTTTTCCTTTGGAGACAGATTATCATTTATCTGTCTTTTACAACATGGATCCCAAATGCTACAATTTTTACAGACTTGTGGGCAAACATATTCCACCATGGAAACTGTGGTAAATATTATATGATAAAAGTAAAATTCATGAAGCACCCACTTTGCACTATGTGCTATGCTAAGTGCTTTTCTCATTAATTTTTACAATAACAGTATGAGCCATGTACTCTGCTTCAATACATTAAAAAACCTGAGGGTTTAAATAGTTCATTACTTTGCCCCAGGTCATGCAGAAAAGTGATGAAACCAGGAGTTGAACCCAGGAAGTCTACTTTTAACCACTGGTATGTGATTTTTTAAAACTTTTATCTAAAATTTCATGAAAAGGCAATGTGAACATGTACTAATGTATTAAAAAGTCAAAAATTACTACTAAGCTTCCAATGAAGTAATGTCCTGCAATAACCATTTCCACCTCTTGCAGCTGTCTTCTGGTTTTTACTTCTCCATTTCTAAGTAACACATTTATGTTGTAATTTTTTGATTTTCAATTGTTAGACATTATTGACGCTTCTAGTGCCAAGAAGGAATAAACTTCTACATGGCTCACAGGACTCTAATTACTGTTTTAGCACATCTTATAGCTAGAGCAATAATCGTTTTCATGATTATGGTTAACATTTTTCACATCTGAACAACAACATACGCTATTGTTATATTTATTTAATTGATTTCAGAGAAGTAGGAAGGGAGAGGCGGGGAGAGAGAGAAATGATTGGCTGTCTCCCCACACACCCCAGAAGGGTGATCAAGCCTGCGGCCTGGGCATCTGCCCTGACTGGGAATTGAACTGGTGGCCTTTGGGCGCACGGGACAATACTCAACCAAGCCACACCAGCCAGGGCTATATATATATTTTTATATAACTCTTTGTTTTTCTGGATTCAATAATTCTTCCCTTTTCTGTCTCCCTCCCTCTTTTTCTCTTTACCATTTATGCTGCTAGTTTCTATGAGAGGGAGGCTAATAAAACTCCTTCCAGTGTGGGGAAGCCCATTAGGTAAATTAGTTCAACTGTTTTCCTCCTTGGAGACATCTGTCCTGGAGCAGATTGTCCTCCAGTCTGGACAGGTATTCTCCAGGCTGCAGTAAAACTGTCACCTGGGACATTTCTTTACCATCTCTTTCTCCTGGGTTGGATGTTGTTTTTCCTCTCATTTTAGCATAGGTAGCTAGCTAGCTTTCATTAGCTTCTTGTGAATGTGTTCACAGGAGGCAAATATTTTATATATTAAATGGTAGGTATAATATTCTAAATTAGAGATAGGTTTCTTAACTTTTTGAGGCATTGTACCATTGTCTTCTGGCTTCCAGCACTGTTTTGGAAAAATCAGACTTTTCCACCTTGGAAGTCTTAATGATCTTCCCTTTATCTCCCATGTTCTGAACTTTTATAATGGCTCTGCTTTGTTTTTAATTTTCCTGGGAGCTTACCGGGCTTGTGCTCTACAAGTATACGTCTTCAAGTTTGGAAACTTCTTTTTTACGTTACTATTTTGACGATTGCCTCCTCTCCGTTTTATTTATACTTCTGATGGGGACTTTCAGGGAATAAGTCAGTCGGAATTTGAAGCTCCTGCATAACCCCTGGCTGCGGATAAACCTGGCTCCTGACACTGTGGGGTCTGGGCGGTGGGGTGGGTGACACACCGCTTGGACAGAGCCTTTCAGTTAATCTATTTTCAATACAGTGGCTCCAGCCTTGGTGGTGTCCTGCGTCCCCTAGTCCAAATTCCCTCTGGTTTGCCTTCTCCAGAGACTAATCTTCAGGGGTCCCACTGCAGAAAACGCAGCAGCGTGGCCTGTGGCCTGCCCAGCTGGGCTTGGGAGGTGGGGGATCTGAAGTCTAATCACTCCTTACTCAGACTTTTAAGCAACCTTCCATTTTAAAGCCCTACAGACTAAGTATCTCCACTTCCTGAGCCTTTCTGGAACTCTGGGCCTGCCTAGCCTTTCTCCTTCCTCCGCCTGCTCACACCATCGCTATTCATCTACTCGCTTTCTTCCAAATTTCTGCTGGATGCCTGTCATCTCTCACATATTTTCTGTTCTCTTTGCCACTGTTCTGCCCCATTTTATTGGGGTTTTAGTAGTGGGTGGAGCTCTAAGTACATATGATCAGTTTGCTATATTTAATTACATACTGCTTTGATTTTCTTAGATTTGCTAAATTACAATACTGCTCGTTAAATTTTAACTTTATCACTTGTAGTTATCATTACCATGTTCCCCAGGAAATCTGGGTTGTTGAAGGCTACTCAGGACGCCCCAAAGTTCAATCATCAGAATTTCAAACACCAAAGAGTCCATCAGAGGATTTAATCTTAACAAATATTGAAAAAAAAAATCCTGCTAACAACTGTTTGTAAATAGAAATGCTAATTTAAATTTCAAAGTAAACCAAATTCCTGAAAGGATGTATTTTAATACCTATTCTCATTGGTTTAAATAGTTTGTAAAATAAAGTAAATACATAAACTATTTCATAGCATTGCAGAAATAGGGCTTTTTATATACTTTAAACATTTTTTAAGTTAAGCAACTTGGCTATAGTGGCCTAAATACTAACAAAAGTAACCAGAGTGTGGACCGAATTTTCAAGGGCAGTTGAAAGGCACAGAGTAGCAATACTTCTTCACGGGATTCATGGTGTTCACTTATGACAACTGGAGTCTACGCTTAGTAAGAGTAATCAAGGGGGTGGGAGGTGCAAATCCCCTCTGCATGCATTTTCAGGGTCACCCTCCTTTGCTTTTTTGGGCTCTGTATTGTGTGCCAGTGCGATGTGCTATCTTTGGTACACACACAAAGGGGAAACTACCGTGTGTGGTCTACAGGCCATGCAGTCCTCCTTGCAAAACAAAATTATTTTAGACTCTAAACTCTCTAAGTATTCACTGTAATCTTTCTCCAACTACTACTATATGCAGGAAGAAAAGGCTCCTTTCTAAGCTCATAGCAGTGGGCTAGTGACCCACGAATAAGTAAACGAAGCAGCATTATTTTACATACATCATTGCATCTCAACCTAAGCTACCATCTAAGGATGGCTTCTTGGTGGACCAACAACACTGCGCCTATGATGGCCTGTCTTCTTAGAGGTAAACTTTGTGGTGACATGACACTTACTGGCCCCAAACAGCTGCCTGGCCAAGGCCTCCCCTTTCTCACCAAACCTGCCTGGCCCTCTCCTGACTTTCCATCAAAAGTCACCTCTCACACCCACCCCTCTCTCCTGGCCGGGAGGACAGATATTCAAAAGCCCATTGACTTTCTTCAGTTGTTTTCAGTTTTACCTGCTGCTCATTAAGCTTCCTCTGTATTTCTTCTGAGTCACAGGAATCATAGACTATGGGCTTGGCCAGCTCGGACTCGATGTGAGCCAGCCACGTCCTCAGGCTGCTCATGTTCTTATCGAGCTGCTGTACGGCGACTAGAGTCTCCTTCAGCTTCTTTATCCTGTGGGACAGAAGGATGGACATCAACTGTAGGAAAAGGCCACTCGTGTTTCCCTCCCACGCAGAGGGGAGCGCTAGGTCTAAAGACAAATTGCTGACAGCCCAAGTCCATTCTGGCTCAGCCACTTCCTGGCTGTGTGACTTTGGGCAGTTGCACAACCTTCCTGTGTCTCTGTTTCTTCATCTATAAAATGGAGAGAAGTAAGAGTGCTTGTGAGATTTAAGTGAGACTAATACTACAGGAGACATGGAAAAAAATCAATAGATAGTGGCCCTGATTATACTCAATATAGCTGTAACGGCATAACAGGGATAGAACCTTCAGGGTGGTCACAAAAGTTGTTATTTGCATCATGGTATATTAAGTTATACTCCTATGAAGATTACCTGGGAGAAAGCAAGATTCTGAAGGCCCAGTGTCATAATGCTAAGGAGGCCGGGGGTAGAGAGGCAGGAGGGAGACGAAGGGGTGGCAATAGGTAAGACTGCCGGTAGGCCGCAGTAGGGTTATGAAGACCCTGCAGCGGCACAGTGATGCGTTTGCATGCAGTTTTAAAGACGAACAGGAGCTTCGGCAAGGTTTATCAGCAAAAGAAAGATAAGATCAGGTCTGATTTTGAGGAGGTAAGTTTGAAGGGAGGCTGCTGGGAGAGCCCGTCCAGGAAGCAAGCAGAGGAGTCCCAACAGCTCCCACCGAAGCCTGCACCTGGGAGAGGGTGTGAGCAGCCGAGGGCAGGACTGCTAAGCCCACCAAGTGCAAGGGTGCGAGGCAGGAGCTAAAAACGTGTTCTGCCCTTGGGCGATCAGAGGACGCTACTGCCTCAAGCACACAGGATGAGGCGCGAGTTCTTGGGTTTAACGGCGCATTAGGTTCAGGAGAGGAAGAGCCTGGGGATCAGGTAGACAGACACGAATGGAAATTAGTTCTCAGGTCCAGAGGAGGGCATGGAGTTGATTACGGCAGTTTAGGTACTGCTGGCCCAGAGCTGAAGCCCTAAGGAAGGGTGCGGTCAAAGTATGATCTGAATGCTTCCTCTACTGCTACTAGATTCACCTGGCTTGCCACACACAAATGCAGATTCCTAGATCCCAACCCCACCCTATTAAATCAGAAACTCTGCCCCTGTGGCCAGGGAATTTGCATTTTTAACAAGCACTCCAGGGGAGTCTTATGCAGACTCCTGGTCTGCTGGGTCAAATGCAGAGCAGGACAGTATAAGGTCTACAAAGAGGACCCATGACCTGGCAATGAGAAGGGCTCTGCTAGCCCTACGTGAATAGTTCCTCAAGGGAAACAAAAAACAGACTGTATGGGGGTTAAGAAATACTCTTATGGCCAGGGAGTATTGTTATTTTAAGAGAGTAGGCAGTGGAGGTGAGAACTGTGGTATGGCACCTATAGAATAACCTGGCTACCACTGTTTTGTTTAATGCAGCTTAATATTTGGAATAGCTTTAGAACTTCTTTTTAGGCAGAGACTAAAGAATCATCTAGAAGATGCTAAAGACAGAGGGAAAAAGAAGGAGAGAAATTGCAGGTGGATACAGATAAGGCTGCAAGATGCAGAGGGAGCAGGTGACAAGCACAGGTCAGGGGGTCGATAGTACATTAGTTCCTAAAGGTGTTTCCAAGTGAGGGCAGGGTGTGAGCAGCAGGTGGGAAACACATACACATATAGTACTTCTCAGCTCGATTATTATCAAGAAACAGCAGCAGAAATCAATTATTGCATTTCTAGTGAGGGCCTGTCATGGCTGAGTGGGCCAGATGGCTCTAAAGAGTGGTGATGTGGATGTGAGCACAAGAGCCATGGCCCTGGTACAGCCTGATTTAAAGTTCAGGCTTGCTTTCGGACCCTAGGTCCTGCCTCTGGTTCGCCCTCTTGCTGACACTGCTCATCTTATGGATGAGTGGCAGATAAGTTATAAAATATGTTCATCTCTGAGGCGTCAATTTGGCTCAACTAAAGAGGTATCTACTTAAAAGTCAAGAGCAACATGACTTTAAAACTCAAGGGATGTGATATATTTGCAGGCAGAGATCGACAATAGTATGTTCTCAAAGACTGACAACAATGCGCACTGAGAGTCATTAAGTATTTCTCAACTCAATTACTTTCAAACAGTGAAGCTAGGACAGTGACAGGATCACGTAGGGGGTTTTCAGACCTCACATGACAACTGCTCACTCCCCACGTCCCCACACTCCTCCCCACATGACTCTGACAGGCTTCTCTGGTCAAGAGCCACTTCTGCGAAGAAAATGTCTCAGAACCAAAGTATTTTGAGCATTTTTATTATTTTTAATTGAATAAAGCTGATATCACTACTTCTTTTACAGTTTCTATAAATCAATGTTTCTCAGATGAAAATCTAATCATGACACAATCACTTTTCCTCTGTCACACAAATACTTTTAAAAGGACTTTCACTATGGGCACTGCTTAATACTACCACCTATATTTTATTAATTATGATAATAATAACAATGTTTATATTTGAATAAAATTTTAGTTCATAAAGGCACTCTGTTTATTATCTTGTATTATTTTTTTAAAGTGTATTTAAAAATTGTGGTCATATTTTCCAAGATATCTTATTAATTAGGGAATGGAAAGCATGTATATGTGTATCATTCCTCAGACAAAATAAGACTTCTCTAATTAGCTTTGTAAATATAAATTGTACTCCATCCTAAGGGCATTTCAAGGTATTGGCCTTGGATAATAATCCCAAGAACTTCTGCATATAAACCATTCACCTTTTTCTCACGTAGAAGACAATATTCACTGGTGTCAGCCAGTGAATGATCGTTTTAGAATGGCTCCTGGGTGCCAGGCTCAGGGTGCACATTCTGCAATGTCTACAGCAAGGGCCTGGAGTTTAACATGGCCCTGGCCATCTGCTCTAGTGGCCCAAACTGAAAGGACAGATTATAATCAATAAGCCCACGGGAACAGGACTGGAGAGTGGCTCGTTGTACTGAGATGTCTGTCCTGGCTTTACCCCTGTAAGACTGGCCTCTCAGGACCTCTCCGCTTGACCAGCCTCCTGTTTTCAGATTCGGTCAGATCCGAATGCTGACTATGCTTTGGGATGGGGTTTTATAACAACCTCATATCATCACCAGGGTTTTGTTTGGAGCCAGAGGCTGGAAGAGTATGTCAGTGCTTGCTTCCGCCTTGCCTTTATTCCAGCACCCTGGGATTATTTCTGCCCAAATTTCTCTCCCCCATGGTAAGTTCCTTGGAAAGGTGGAGCTGTGAATTTCCACTTTGGGTTTTCCCTTTTCCCTGCCATACTAAGCTTTGCACAAAGTTGTGCACTATTTAAATGCCTACTAACATTAATAACTACTATTCTAAGGAAAATACTTTTACTTACTTAATATATTTTAATTTATTTTTAAATTTATTTGATATTAGTTAATATCAAGAGTATCTTCTAATTTTCCTCTAGGTCCAACACTTGCAAATGGTTTATTTGTACTAAAATTCATTTTCTTGGTTCAAAATTTACTGACAGAAATGATTAAAAGATCCAAGGTACAAAGAGATGTGAGTAAACACTGTTCCATTGGATATTGTCTATACCAGCCAAATAATTTACAGGATTAGTTATCTTGTACAATAGTGAACGAGTTCCATTAGTCAGAGCAGTTAATGTGAAATGTGGCAAGGGCACCATGACATGGGAATGCTTGTTCATATAGTCCATTAAGGACAAGTTCCTCTTTCCAATGACTGTGTAAATCTTGGCAAAGTCAATGGGGTGAATACTTAAGTGGTTCCCTGTTCTCATTTTTTAAAAAGTGTATTTGACTACACTTTTATAACAAATACATTGTGTGTGTTGGGGGGAGCAGATATGAGCTGAGAGCAAATGGGTAGTAAGCCCCCCCCACATCTCCCTTGAGCGTATTAAACTTGGCATTTGCAAGTCAAGAATCATTCTTTCTTAAGAGAAATGTTACATATTTTTCCCATTATTTCTTCAAAGGAAATCCTTGGATAAAGTGTGACAATATTTTTATTTATCTGTCACTATAAGAAGTTTGAGCAACATTCCTTTTGGTAGCATCCAGGATTATAATTCAAAATAGATGTTTACAGACGTCACAAGACTGGGTGAGTCCCTGAAGCTTAGGGCTCTCCTTTCACAGTCTAATGTACCTTATTGGCACTTGACCCTGCCGGAGAAGATGTCTACTATTAAACCCAGTTGTCCACCTCCTTAATTCTTAACATTGTCCCAGAATATATACATATACACATATATATGTAACAGATAGATACATCTCACTACCTGCCTTCAAACTAATTAGGTAGATCCATAAACCAAAACCAAAAATTAACATTTTCAATAATAGAACCAAAAGTTTCATTCATAAATCCTATTCCACAATAGGAATTTATTTGGGGGATGTTATGGGACAAGAAAATATTTTTTAAAAATTAAATGAAAACTATAGAGAATATGATATTCTAACTGGAAAAATCATGAAATAAACATTTACACAATGCACTGAGTTACTATTTCAGGCATACATTTCTACATTTTGTCTATGTTTTAAAATCTTTATACTAGTTAGCGACCAAACCAAAACAGAAACAACTTTTTCTCACACACAGAGCCCTCCAGGCCCTTCAAATATAAGTAGATTTGTATTTAATAAAGGGAACGCTTTCAGCTACAATGCCGTGAACTGGCTAAGGCTGAATTTCAGTTTCATCAGGAGCCCAGCCTTTAAATAGCAAATGATGGACTAACTGGATCTTTCCACTGGATCTTTTTCTCAGTCTCTTTCCTGTGTCTCAGGCTCCCTACTGTAGCCGTACCCCTTGTGTGACGCAGACAGCCCTGAGACAACTGGGATGCTGAGCCGTAACCAAGCTCATCAACCTCTCGCCTGGCTCTCTCGCCCCGCAGGGGGGCAAGAAAACAACCCAACAGATGACCCTCAGGAGTCCACCCCCGAAGCCAACAATCTCCTGACCCCAGTCCCCTCTGGGCCGCACTGGCGAAAACAACTACGAGCCAAGCTGCAGCGTGTAACTATAAAGCCCACGCAACACGAAAGCTATGCGCGACAGGAGAAACCCAAGGAGGGCCTGCCTTGTGACATCGCAGGTACAGTCTGGGAGGTCCGTGTCGGCCCCGCTGTCCTCCGCCATCCTCAGGGCACACGGCGCTTCGGCCACCACCATGAAGCTCCCACTGGCCAAAGTGAGTTCTGCGGAGCAAAAGGCTAAATCCTCCGTCCGGATAAAAGCTTCCCCTTGTCTGTGTTTGCAAGTATGAAAATGCTCACTCTAGACAAATGTTGGTAAGTCTCTGCCTGATAATATGACACTGAGCAGTGACAAGTGGTCATGCTTCTAAATAAAACCTACATTCATGACCATGTGCCAGGCCTGATCTCCTGGAATGTAGGACACGGGCGTGAGCAGGGGAAAGGCTCGGGGTAATCTGCAAGGAGGGGAGGCTCCGGTCTAAAGACAGAAGGGGGATCGAAAATAAGGCCGCTGCAGACACGCCGTCGCTCTGCCAGGACCCGCAGCTCTTCTCGTGGGCTCTGTGGTAACTTGGAAAGGATATTTGAAAAACAGAAATCATCCAAATGCAAGCAAACGAAACCTCCACAAGTACAGCCAAGTGCAGTAGCAAAGAGCAGCAACTTCTCTTTTCTGCAGTTTCCTCCGCCGGCTAAGTGGTGTGCGTAGGAGACCCAGGGGTGTGGGAAGGTGGGATGGAAAAGGCATTCCGTGGGAGAGTGCTCGGGCCGGCCTTTGAACAGGCTACTGAAGCATGAAAGGTAATTCAGAAATATTATTCTGCGCTTACGTATTCATAGCCTTTGTCCTTTTAAGAAATAATGATATAATGTGATAAAAGTAACATGTTTATTTTAAGATGATTTTTAAAATTATCTGATCATTTGCTTGGTGGAATTTCAGGTAACTTTTTTTTCTTTTGTGAATTTCAAGACCTTCCAAATTTTCTGCACTGGTTCTATATTAATTTCATAATTTAAGCTTTAAAAGAAAATAAACTCCCAAATTATTAATTACTGATAATTTAATACAATGCTGGCAGCTTTAAATCCTTTTTGGATTAAGGTATGGAAACACACAAATAAATTAGAAATAAGTAAATAAATAAATTCATAAATAACATTTGCTAAGTTCTTTTTAAAAGGCCTACATAATAAATTGCAAGTAAAATAAAACAAGTCATTAGGTTCTGGTTGTGTGAGCCGATTTCTTTTAAAAGAGAAACAAACTTTCTTTGTAAGAGAAGCAAACCTGTCTTTTACATAAGAAATGTACTCCAGAATACTTAGTTATAAATAAATTAGTTTTCAAACCTTTCTACTTAGCGATAGTCTACTGTGATTTTTAAAATAAAACAGTCACTCCTCTGGGAAATTATTTTTTATAACTTCCCAGGAATAAAAACACGTACGCTTTGGTTAAAGGAATATATTGGTCACAAATCCGTAACAGGAGGCATGTTACTGCAACAGAGCCAATAACTTGCATCTGACATTCCTAGATCTTAAAATGGGAAATGTTCAATAGTGCACTGTCCATTATAAAAAGCACAGAACAACTAATGCTAACAGGCAGATTTCCTGTCAGTCCCGAGCTCTAGAAAAATGGTTGTGTCGCTTTTTGCATAGGGTTCACTGACCAAATGAAAGCCAGCATCCTTGAAGACAGTTTTCTAGAATTAAAGTGATGACTGCTTCTTATGTTGACTCTTGATGAAAACCAAGGGCTCAGGAATGCTTTCAATTGCCTGAGCCAGTGCTGACCAATAGCACTTTCTGGGATGATGGAAATATTCTGTATCTGCAGTGTCCAGATGGAGCCACCCTCCTCCTGTGGTTACTGAACACTGGAAATGTGGCCAGTACAATGGACTATAATGAAAATTAAACTCTAATTTAATTGTATTCCATTTCAGTAAACTTAAATAGCCGTGTATCACTAGTGACTGATGTACTTGACTGAGCAAGTCTGGAAAGTGTGAAAAGTATACTAGAATATCATTCACTGAGCTCTGAGAGTGAGAAAATTTCATTATCCTAAAGTACTGATAATGCCTGGTTACAGTTTACAAATTCAGTGCAAAAACCCATCTATTTTGTACTCAGAATGGTCTAAGTTAATCCACTGGTGACAGGAAGCTGACTTGCAACTATACATTCTACTTGTATGTAGCAGTAGAATTAGTATCAGTGAATCTTCTCTCTCTCTCCCCCCCTTACCCTTCTCCTTATTTACTTATTTTTATTAAATTTATTGGGGTGAATTTCGTTAATAAGATTATATGGGTTTCAAGTATAGATTTTCTTTTTTTCTAAATTTCTGTTATCCGTGATCTGTATGTTGCATTGCGTGCCCGCCACCCAAATCTCTCTTTTCCATGTGTTTGCTCACTGGGAAGCTGTTGACCTGGAAATAAGATCACCTTCAAAAACAGCCTTTCCATTCCCACAAGAGCACCCAAACACATAGAAATGTCAAAAGGCATAACTAGGTTATGCTCTGTTATAATGAATCAGTGTGAAAAATCATTGAAAGAGGGAGGAGAGGTGAGTGGGACTGAATCATGAAAACTATTTCAGCTGCCAGGTCATATTGGAAGATGGGTGTCGGAGATGGCCATTTAGTCTGCGCCCAAGTGAAGCTCCGATAAACAGGGAAATGAAAGCACATGTGATGGAGGGTCATTTAGGAAAGGCTTCAGGAGACTATGAACACTGTGTAGCACTAAAAACTCCAGGACACCTCAATGGTCAACACAGCATCCGGTCTGCTTCGGAAGGAGGCAGTTAGAAATGGACAACATACACACAGAAGTCTCTCAAGGGAGTTACATCTCTGTGTGATGAGACTCCTCAAAAGCAGAAACTTAGGAGCATTTTAGTGACTGCGGTGCAAAGTATGCAAACCTTAGAACTTGCTCATTGATTCAAGTTTACTAATTGGTTTTGTTTTGGGAAAAATAGATTAAATAACATGTAGAAAATTTCCCCTTGATAACGCTCTTATAGGAAATGTTTTCAAAATTAACATATGGAACTGCCATGCCCATATGCACACGGCATTCAAAAAGCACTACTTCCTGTCCACTGTTACACGGCATGGCCAAGGCAAGGAACCCAGGTGACAAAGGTAGAGGGACTCAGAAGTACAGACTGGCAGTTACAGGATAATCACGGGGATGGAAGTTACAGCACAGGGAAAATAGTCAACAACATTGTGATAACTATGTATGGTGCCAGGTGGGTGCTGGAAATACTGAGGCGCACTCTGTAAAGTACATGATTGTCTAACCACGATGCTGTACACCTGAAACTAATACAAAATCATATTGAATGTAAAAAATATATATATATTTACTTTTGATTAAATAATTTAAAAAATAGCATATTGGGAGATAGCTCCAAAATGGCCATGAATCAGAAACATTTGTTACATTCCAAGTCTCCTGACTGCCATAAAGAACATCCATTCAAGTATTCATTCATTCATTCATTCAAGTATTTATTGTGCCCTAACTTCACAGTGAACAGAGTGGACAAAGATCCCTGCCCTCATGGAGCCTATATTCCAATATGAAGCCAAGTTCACCTAACATAAAGCATCTAGTCAGTCATTTCCTCTTTTTATATCAAATACCACAGTGCCTCATTCAATCAAATCAGACCTTTACATGCCAGTAAAGACCCTTAGGTATTTCAGTTTTGACTTCTGTCTTTCTAACTCACCCTGCCCTTCCGCAACAGAACTGAATGTAACATTCCTACCAGATATGAGCAGACCCTTAGTTGTTAAAGCTACGCACATAATCACAATCAAGCGTGGGCTGTTTTTACAACTAAGCAGAGGCAACGACTAGATTTACTCCTTGCTAACCAGAAATCCAGTAGGAAAGTGATAAACTTTTTTTTTTTTTTTTTTGTCTGGGAAGCTCTTTATTTTACCTTTA